TAGGGGCTTTCACTGGGGGGGGGGGGGGTCGTTTTGGAAAGACTTGTGCCTGACCTCTTGCTCAACCCTGCTTGTGAGTTTGTTGCTGCCCTTATGCCTACGACATTGCGAAGGATTGCCTAGAATGCGAGCTCCTGGGCCTATTTATATCTGCGAGATATTTTCTGAAAAAATAAGGAATAAGTCAAGCTTGGTATGACAAGTTTTTGCTTTGCAGCTGCACTTGTCGCGACATTAGCTGACTGGGGCAAACAAGCACATCAGTAAAAGGTAAAGCCAAGTTTGGTATTTCTACATTTGTTGTTGCTTGAGGAGCTGAAGACGAAATGCACGGAAACACGGTCTTTCGTTGTTGTTTTCTAGCGGTGCGTTTAATTTCGTAAATAATGGTGCTATATCTGGGACCAATTGGCGGGTTTGTAACGGGGTCGTGGTTTACTGGTGTAATGATCCATTCCGTTCGACTAGCCTTGATACCCCCATTCGCAAAATCAGAGCTCCTCTATACAGTACCTTTATGTATTTTCCAAACTAGTGAGCCTAATCTAAAGATGCTATACTGGAGCGTTCGCTTCGGGACACGCCGTGGTTTCCCGCTATCTGATGTTTTTTGAGTTGGCATTACACTCTTTATATATTAGATATGTGACAGCGGGACAATTATGAGCAAGAGTAATAAAGACCATCCCTTCTAGCTTTCAAGGTGGCCTCAGATTGATTGCGGCCACTGTGATGGCCGTGCAATAAACAAAACCATTTTTGTGGACTCAACCCAAGCAATAGAGAGCGTACAAGCGCATCGTCGTTATAGGATGAGTGTGTTTATTGCCCAGATGCAGTTGAGTTACCTTGCTCCGCCTGTTATCGTCAGCATTCTACCACAGCACCAACGTGTGCAGGTCGCCTGTCTTTATAAAGCTCTAATGCTTTTGTGTTCTATTTAACACACTCTACTTGGCGCTATTCGCCTCAGGTTACAGTAAAGCCTACGAGCCACCGTCACAGGGCGGTGAACCTCAGTGGAGTGACAGAGCAGCGACTAGTTTTCAAGACGCGGTCAAGAAACATATACGACTGAAGTTCCGAATTTAGAGGTGACGGATTTTAACGATCGCAACCGCACGAGGCAATGCGCGCGATAGGATCGCGCGTAGCACAGAATAGGCGTTATATACTGCTACAAGAGACATGAATCCTCAGTTAAAGAGGGAGTGCAACCGGCGAGAAAGCCGGCGAAGCTCCTGGACATCTTCTACACGGGTTGATGAGGAAGTGCCAAAGTAAGAGTGATGTACTCACTTTTAAAGCGAGCTTGACAAGGTAGTGTGTTTCAAGTTTACTACGATGGCCTAACAGAGGTCCCATCATTTGATAACGTGATAGAAGGTTCGGAATGCTTTTGCTCTCTTTTACGATAAATTTATAGTCGGTTTAATTTTCACGACGAGAAGCTTGTCCATTTACAAAGCTCAAAGTCAGCGGAGCAACCTCGAGTTGTAGTGGAGACTTTTTGATGTTCGGGAAGGAACATTTCAAGAATTTGTGGCCTCATTACGAGCCAACTTCAAAGAGAACGATGCCAACAGAATGGAGGCATACCATTAGCCTCAAAAACCTGTATTACTCCGGAGATATTTCGTCGTACAGGTCAGAACACTGATAGTGGCAACGCCAGTCGTCGGGAAGGAACCTTTCTATGCGTATTGAAGAGCTAAACGCACTACTCATTAACTGGCCGGAGCACTCTTCACGGAGTTAAACCAAACTTCTGCGGATGCTTATGACATGCTAAAGCCCTTGCGCACCGACTTGAGAAAAATAGGGAAGTGGCTTTACACTCGAAGCGCTAAGAAACGAGTATGTTTCAAAGTGTTGAATAAAGGACGTCAAATGCCACAAAGGAGGAAGTTCGCGATTCATCCCGAGATACAGCAGGAAACAAGAAATACTCAGAACGATTGAGTTTTTACCGAAATGGGCGGCGAGAAGGATTGGAGAATCGAGAATTGCTGCGCCACGATAGCAAAAAGCCCGGACATTTCAGAAAGTACTGCAAGGAATATCTACAAGCACAGCACTCTGAGAAGTTCAAGGAAAGTATCACGAGGAGACAAGAGCACCAACTCCGCCAAGAAACGAGGTGCAGGATCTTTCCAATCTATAGCGACAGTGAGCGTGCAGTACTGTAGCCAAAAAGAGAACAATGTTATAATGGGCAGCCGGACGCTACAAACAGTGGGGTTTCTTGGCCTGAAAAGGACAAAACTGATAGATGGATTCTGGATCAAAATCATTATCATGCCTCTGGATCTGCTGTGCACAGCAAGATGGGTTTGACATAGATGGAGATGCGAAACAGATTTTGCAGCAAAAATCTCCGTTTTACGATGCTTTCGAAAATTTAATGGCTTTTAAGGGTGCCATTGCCAGGTCTTGGAAGTAGCCAACGGACCTTCGCCGATGGTAGTGCTGAGAACATACATCCCGATTGCCTATCCAATCCGTCGAAGAGGTCATCTACGCAGATGCGGGCGAAAACAGCAAAACCAACAATGGGAACGGCATAGCAAGGGTACCAGAAGGCTCAATGAGGCTATGAAATTGGGCTAAAGTGGCTGCACGCGTATACAGTAGACCTCACGATCACATTCGCGCACACGCACAACGAAAAGCTTCGCCAAAGGACGAAGCCTGATTGTGGGTGGTCAGTGTCAAGGTCAGTGAGAGACCAGACCGTTAACTTTAGTGGACCGGGTGTACATGAAAATGCCCAAGGAGATTGCTCAATCAAAGTCCAAATTGGTTAACGACTGGACCGGGCTATCTAGAATCGAATTGGATGACTATAGCGCCTTGATCAAGTGATTAAACGCAGATTATAAGCCTAAGTGCATTTTGTTTGATCAACTGAGGAAAGTTTCCCGAGATGTTGACAATGAGCCTGTCAAAGCAGCTAAAGGAGTAAACACGGGTAGACCGAAAAAATACGGATTCTAGCTCTAAAATTTTTTGTTTCAGGGTCGAGGTCGGAGACTCGAGGGCGGACTTTGCATTTTCTTCATCCTTATCCTTGCAAATGCAATACTTTTGATAAACATGCGCACAAGTGGCGTTACCAGGATCTGACGCCAAGGAGGTTGATCATTGTAGGCCAACGAAAGACATGATTGAGGCTACATCCGGCAACGTGTCCTGGTTGAGAAGGTGCTTCGAACACTCTGCGGTTGCCTACGTTCAAGCTGAGAGGAAAAGGATAAGGCGAGCGCAACTTGGGAAAACAACGAAGGACCGGACGTGAATGGAGGAAGGACAGTAAGGAAGCCACTGAAGCAAGCTCCGAATACGAACAACAAAAATGATACTTGTAACTGCGGGTTAGTGTCTAGTGGTATTTTAAGGTTTCCACCTTGATAATGGGACACACGAAGAGATTGAAATCAAGAAAGTTTGTCCGTATGAAAACAAACAGTAACAATGGCCTCAAGGGCAACAACGAAGGAAAGCAACAAGAGAAAACACGAAATCGAGGGGAAATATCCCGATTTGTCCCTCCAGCAGGGCTTTACACGGTCACGGCTGGATCCATTCTCGGTAAGTTTTCACGTGGAAAGGCCGGCTCTCTCCTGACCTTTTCGACTCCCACGAGCCTCTTCTGCTCACGGCTCCCCTCTCTCTTCCCCTTTTATGCCCTGCTGAGAGGTCAAATCGGCCTCTTCTTTTCCCACCATCAAATATTGTAGATCGGTGATCCTTTCCATCCAACATACTATGGACAGGTCCCCGGGAATGATTCTTATAGGGAGGGGCGTGGAAGGCCTCGGGCAGAGTTCACGCGATGTCATCGTCGCGATTGGTCGCGACAAGACAATTGTAACATTATCAATACATGCCGATCTTTCTGCATTTCGGTTGTGTAGTTTTCCAACGCGACTAGTGGTGACTAACTATCATATCCGAAATACAAGAAGACCGGCATGCAATGAACTCGTAACACTGTCTTGTAGCGATTGAATAGCGACGATCAAATTGCATGAACTCTGCCCGAGACCTAAGGGTTGTTTCAGACTGCCGCATTGACCGCAGCAGACTGCAGCAAACTGCAGCTGACCGCATGAGGGCACTGACTGCACCGGTCGCTGCCTCCTTTCATAAAAGGAAAAACAATCGCGACTATCAAAACACCGTGATTTACGCCCAAGAAGATCATAAGTTCCATCACAAATCTTTTCAATCAAATTTTGGCGATAGTTTTTCTTTGGTATGTTCGTATTTGTTCCAATTTCTCCTATCATTGCATGTACCTGTTTTGCAAAACATTCTAGCCCGTGTTGTTCTTTGCTTTTAGGTATATATTGTTGCCGTTTGTTTGAGCCACAAGTATTTGTCCTCTCCACCTGTAGGCTTCAGCCGTTGCGGCCGTTGCAGTCAGTGCGGTCAGCTGTAGTCTGCTGCAGTCTGCTGCGATCAGTGCAGCAGTCTGAAACAACCCTACGGAAACGGGCAATGTGATGCATTATTGATGATTGATATGATATTGGGTTGATATGATATGCTTGCAAGGAAGCGCAGCGCTTCGTTAATTGTTTTCGGTGGTCGTTGTTTTGTTTCGACTCGGACTTTGCCATGGCAGAATACTTTTTTTAGTTGTTTTCTACGATCCATACCATACATCGTCTTCTTCTTTCTTTCTTTTGCAAACAAATTTCTACGTCTTCAAAGTGAGTTGATTCCATCACCTCATAAACAACTTTTTCGATTTTGGCGCTCAATATCAATGCAAGCTGTGATGTGCAAGCTGACAGACACAAAACGATGGGCGATTTACAATGCCACGTACATTATTATTTGGACTTCGCCGTAAATCTGTTATGTCACTGCAGTCACTACTTCTGAATTGCGATACGTGACTTCCTTCTACCACAGATTACCAGTAAAAGTCACCATTCAATATTTCTGTCAATGCAGCTGACAAAACGACTGGGTGCAAGCCCTTGTCGGAGATGTTCTTGTTATCTTTGTTATCACATTGCAGGTGGAACTTGTGATATAATTCAAAAATTGTTTCAGAGATGTTTTGAAAAAGCACTGGTTCTCGACCTGATACATCACAAAAAATCGTCAGTTAAAATCTTTATTAATCTAATCAAAAAACTGAGATGCATATTATTTGTTGCAGCTGTTTCCATTAAGTGAAGCACTTTCGAGTTTTCTGAGCTGGAGGTGGTATTTCGACTATATTTTCACCTACTATAGTGAAGCAGTATGAGATTTTGAACGCAATAGTTGCTACAAACAAACTCAAATTCATTATATTATAAAAAAAACACAGATATTTGCTTTGGCAAGTTGTGTTTGTGTCATGTGTACATTGCACTATGTTGGCTATGCCCTATAACTAAAAATTTTATTTCAGCTTGAAAATTGTCACTATATGTTTCTACAACTAGTTAAACGTGTATTAATATTGCTGGCTGCCGACTTGTTGGTAGTGATAATAGTTATTTTTCCGTTTTCACCTCACTCAACGATAAAGTACAAGTGGGTGGGACTTCAGATTTGCTTTTCGAAGGATACATCGTAAAGGTCGTGATAACTTTTTAGCTGAAATTGTTAAAGGCATGTCTCTGCAAAATCTCACCCTGCGGTTTTTCGTCTTTCTAGAGCCTTTTTGCCATGCTGAACCCATATTTGGGCTTTGCAGTGCACGAAAATGACGAAAATGAGCTTTTTTCGAAGCTCTCCATGTCCCCACTTGCTGCAATATGTAGAAGAGCGGGGTTCGGAACGAAGGGGCGGTCCGTAAGACTTTCAAAGTGTTTTTCAAGCTTCACAGACGTGCTTTTTTCGCTCCGGGCTTTGTAGACTAGTTAGAGGACCTGCCACTGCAATGCTTTATAATCCAAATACTCGTCATTCAACGCTGCCTTTGAGGGCTTTGCCGAATGTTGGCCGTCTTTGCATTGCGATCAGTGCTTATATGCAAACACACGCAATCTTTTTTTACTCTCAGGCTTCTCTACTATCATTATCTTTCTGATGTTTGAGACGATTTTGAAAGTCCTCATAGCAATTTGTTTTGTTTAAGCAAAAAGGGCGCCGTCTGGATGCGCTTTGACCGCGGTCTATGCAGCTGTGATCGGGCAAAGCTCTATACACACTTATACTGCTAGCGCACGTTCACTCATTTTCTCCGAGGAACAGTGTCATTGGCATGCTTAAAAACTGCAAAGTGTCGAAAATGTATGATATACTATCAACATTCTGGCACAGTCTCTCACATCATTTCGAGAGCAGTCCTCAGACAAGAGATGCTTCGAAAATATAGTGTTCAGGTTTCGACTAGACACTTTTTCAATTCGCACACATAATGGCAAAAAGAGTTTTCCAAAATCGAGTATGGAGTTCCGAATAATTAAATCAAGCCAAGAATTTCCTTGCGCAAAGCCTATCAGTCAGTCTGTCAGCAATCTCTTTATTTTGACCAGTTAGGGCTATGTGTTCTGAGAACCATGTACCGAAATGCAAAGTGGACTGTTGCAATGCCAAAAGTGATTCCTCTCTCCATATGAAAGCTTCTAGGACAAAGCTATCAATGAAAGTAATAACTTGCTTTATTTAGATCTGTACCAGCACCGCAAAGATATAAGGACCTTTTGGACGAGTTAGGTCCGTGCTTCGCTCAGGGACATTACCTTGATTACATAATTGTAGGAATAAACTGCAAAGATTTATTGGAAAGAAAGGAAGACGCCATAGAAAAAGCCAAAAAATGGACGTTCGACGTCAAGAAGATTGATAAGAAAATACGAATGGCAAAAGACAGGTGGCATTGTGGTAGCTTGTAACAGCAGAGTTTGTGTCACTTGAAAGGTCATGCTGCAAAAATTAATTTGCTCTCCCAATGCATTGAGAGTACCTTCAGCATCCATTACAACGCTTGACTTTACCCTCAAAGTGTTCAGCAATAGAGGTAGCTATAAGACATCTGAACTATAGCTCTCATGTTTGCGAAAGTGTTATTCTAATTTTATCTTTTCGCTTTTTTGCCGCAACTTTATCAAGCGATGCGCCTTGTCACAACAACGATAAATCGTTGATCGTTTTTGATGATAGCGTAGATGAGTCTTACGGCAGAAATGCTAAGATTGTAAGTATAGGGTCAAACATATGAGGAGGATTATCAATATTATCCGTAGACATTACATTGTTTGTTTTTTGTGAGCCGTAACTGAGATTGTTATATGGTCGTCCTCCCCCTTCCCTCCCATTAGACACCTAGGGCCGCATGCACTAACCTCCCCGCGGGGAGGGGATCGCAGCTTAAAAGAAAGCTTTATATTTCGAAACTCCAGATATCTGGATTTCACGTTGTGTACCTATCCGTAAGTATTCCTACTACCCTTTATTATGAACATGTTGAACAGGAGCGAGAAGCTGTACGAACCGCATTTTCCAGCTTTTGTATGATCCCTGATGATCCCCGGCGCTTTTCTTTAAAGTCATTTTTCTTACTCCGAAGTTAACGAAAACCTTCCAAAGTCGTACTAAACATCTGACACAACAGTGCTAAGCATGTTGCTGATGAGAACAAATGAGTTTTTAAAAAGTCGAATTTTCCGGCAAACCTCAAATTTCGACCTGTTGATCATCGAAAATTTCATGACTTCAAAACATCATTTGTTCTTATCAGCAACATGCTTAGCACTGTTGTGTTAGATGTTCAGTACAACTTTGGAAGGTTTTCGTTAACTTCGGAGAAAGAAAAATAACTCTAAAGAAAAGCGCCGGGGATCACCAGGGATCATACAAAAGCTGGAAAATGCGGTTCGTACAGCTTCTCGCTCCTGTTCAACATGTTCATAGTGAAGGGTAGTAGGAATACTTACGGATAGGTAGACAACGTGAAATCCAGGTATCTGGAGTTTTGAAATATAAAGCTTTCTTTTAAGCTGCGATCCCCTCCCCGCGGGGAGGTTAGTGCATGCGGCCCCTAGTGGACATATTCGAATTTGAAGGGCACGCCGGTTGCGGCAAAGGCGGCACCATCGGATCCATTTCAAGCTCACGCCGTTGTCTTTTGTGTTTTCCCTCGTTTCATGATGAATTTTTGGTTTTAATGACATTTGTAATCGCGATTGATGCATTGGTTGATGCTTGGCGGTGTTTCATACTACTATGCTCGTTTCTTTAGCTCTATTTCCAGTATGGTTGGAAAAACGGTGCACATGACAAGTTTTTGACATGAAGTTCAATGAAGAGTACTCCAACTTAGATAATCGCCGGGGGCAGGCGGTCCGCAAACTCACGCTTTTCTGCAAGCGGTCAGCAGAATTCTGGGGCGTGGCCAGACCTTCAGCGACCGGTACTTCCTTTGCTGTCTAATGTTCTGCCAGCGGGCAGCAACACGGATTTTTCTGCAGGCGCTCGTCAAATAATTTCTCTCAGCAAACGCTGGCCGAACTTTCTGCAGGCGCTCGGACTCTTTTTACGCAGTTTCGGGCTTACATCGAGCACAGGTAAGACTCTGTGTGGCAGAGGTGTCACCGTTGGTTTAATTACTCAAGTTTGAGGGGGCTAGGGGCTGCGCGGTCCTCTACAAAGAACCGTTCGGCCCTCGAAAATTTTGCATATTCTCGCGGAAAGTCCGCGAGAATGCGGCCACTGCGCCGCAGCTAATCTATAAGGAAGCCGCGATTGTTCTCCAAGAATTCGTCTAAAATTCCACTAAAATTCTTCCAAATATCTGCAAGCGGACCGCAAGAAATCAGCGAACTATTTTTCCGGTGTCCGCCCGCCCATAAATCGCATGGCCGCCTGCCCCCGGCGATTATCTGAGAAGACATGTTACCTAACGAGAAAAGATTTCACTAGCATAGTTTTCAAACTTAGTCGTTTCTTCAAACTCAACTTGAAATCAGAGTTGCAGGAACGAGCATAGCACATCACGCAAAAGCAACAAATTTTCGATCTGAATATGAGAAGACTTTAACCTTTGAGAATTAGAATGAAATCTCAGGTAATCGGCGGGGGCAGGCGGTCCGCAAACTCGCGCTTTTCTGCAAGCGGTCAGCAGAATTTTGGGGCGTGGCCAAACCTTCAGCGAGCGGTACTTCCTTTGCTGTCGCATTTTCTGCCAGCGGGCAGCAACACAGGATTTTCTGCAGGCGCTCGTCAAATAATCTCTTTCGGCGAGCGCTGGTCAAATCTTCAGCTGGCGCTCGGACGGTTTATAAGCGGTTTCGGGCGTACGCCGAGCAAAGGTGAGACTCTACATAGCAGAGGTGTCATCGATGGTTTACTTACTCAAGTTTGAGGTACTTTCTCTCAGCGGAAAGTACCTGGGGGCTGTGCGGTCTTCCACAAAGGACCGTGCGGCCCCCGAAAATTTTGCATATTCCCGCGGACTTTCCGCGAGAATGCGGCCGCTGCGCCGCAGCTAATCTATAAGGAAACCGCGTTTGTCCTCCGAGCGTTCGTCCAAAATTTTGCTAAAATTCCTGCAAATATCTGCAAGCGGACCGCAGAAAATCAGCGAACTATTTTTTCGGTGCCCACCCGCCCATAAATCGCATGGCCGCCTGCCCCCGGCGATTATCTGAGAGTCAGGAAAACACAACCTGTTTGAGATTGGATTAAGGGCTGCAGGTGCCGCGCTCTGCCGCAACCGGCGTGCTCTAATTCAAATTCGATTTCGTTCTTTAGGTGTCTAGTGGGGGGAGGACAACTATACAGTACTTTATCGGCTAACATTTCGGCGGATCGCCTTCGATCTGTCGAAAGCGGATAAAGTTTACATTCGCCGTGGGCGGGCGGTCATGCGAATTTTGAGCAAGTGGTCACCGGAAAAATAGTTCGCCAATTTGTTGCGGTCCGCTTGCAGAAATTTGGACTAACTCTGGCTAATTTTCGAACGCGCGAAGAACTTTCACGGTCTTTCTATAGATTAGTTGCGGCGCAGTGTCCGCATTCTCGCGGACTTCGCGAGAATATGCAAAATTGTAGGGGGCCGCACGGTCCTTTGTGAAGGACCGCACTGCCCAGGGCTGAAAGAAGGTACCCTAAACTCGGGTAAATAAACCATCGATGACACCTCTGCCACATAGAGTCTCACCTTTGCTCGGCGTACTCCCGAACCTGCGTAAAAAGTGTCCGAGCGCTTGCTAAAAGTTTGGCCAGCGCTTGCTGAAAGAAATTAATTGCCGAGCCCTTGCAAAAAATGCTGTATTGCTGCCCGCGGGCAGAATATGACCGTAAGGGTAGTGCCGCCCGCTGAAGGTTTTGCCACGCCTCAAAATTCTGCTGACCGCCTGTAGAAAAGCGCGCGTTTGCGGACCGCCTGCCCGGCGATTATCTGAGTTGGTGGAACTTTCCAATTCAATCGCCATTTACAAACAGCTAGCCTTCTTTAGAGCTCCGTCCAGTTACTGTCGTATAGATTTGAATTATATTAGTTGAATTAAAAGTATTAGAATTTACGACTCCGTAATATAATTTTCTGCATCTACTCTATATCAGTTCCTTGTCCCCAGAGTGTAGTGCATTCACACACCTTTCGCAACTTTTTCATTCCAAATTTTGCAAAAATTCGATAAACTCAGTAAAAGCAATCAAAAAATTCCGGTTGTCATTTTTGTAATAAGCATGCTCACTTACACACTTTTGTGTCTTCCACTTATCAGAAAAATTTGCAGAAAATCTGAAATCGTAAGTGGAATAATCTCCCTCTTACTTTTATAAACAGCGGGCTCACGTTCGCTAAAAAATAGTCTCCTATTTGATATAAATCGACAGGCAAATACCGAGCTTATTTACGTAAGAAATTGCATTGATAGACGAACGAAGCGTACAGCTATCTTGAACGAAAACACCGAATTTTTCACTGACCATAATGGAGGAACGTATTACTCCATACTGTAAGTGTAAGTTAAACCTCGCTCTATAGAATGGTGCCTCAAGCTCGGAGAAGGACATGAAAGCAAGGGAGTTATTAACAATCAAAAAGTGTTCACATTTTTTTGGGACACTCCGTACTGAAAGATTTTGGAATCATCCATGTTAATCCATGTTAATCTATCCCCCAGATTATTTTCTTACCGGAATAATGTAAGTAAAGGATCTTTAACGAGAATTTTGAAAGCTATTTTAGAGAGCCACACCACTTTTAGGCGAGAAAAGCTCCATATTACACTGATTCTAGAGATGGAAATGCGAAAGAGGTTTATTTCATGGAGCAAGCTCGCCAAAAGACGATGCAGTAAACTACGAAGCATTAGCATTTTGTTTTCAGATTCGTCTAAAAGTGCTTTTCCCGTATATTTCTTGTTTTCGAGTAAAGAGCACAAGACGGCAAGCCTATTTTTGCATTTCTTCAAAAACCATAGCTTTTCGGCAGTACAGACTTTGCTCACTTAGATTTAGGATGTCATCAAGACTATGCTTTTGACTGTTTTAGATTTCATCAAAACATTCTACTGGTTAGCTTATTTAGACCTCGAACGCTATCAAATGTGATTCTAGCTGTTGAATCCAGTGGAGCCATCAAGATGTTTGTGCAGTCGAGTAGATTTTCCGCTTAATATGGTGTGCTTGCGCCGATGGTTAAATGCGGTAGAATTTGCGCGTCAACAATAGCTTCGACTGTGACGCTGGCCAACTGCGCGCGCCAAATGCCGGCAATACTGGCGTGGCTATTTATTCACGAGCAAATTTCACGGCATTTTACCTTCTGTGCAGGCACATTATATTAAGCGGAAAATCTACTCGACTGTAAGAGCATCAAAAAACTACTGAAAAAGAAGTTGCGCTTTTCCGAGCACTTTGCGAACTTTTGGGCTAAGGGGTAGTTCAGCAATGTTTGTTTCTAATGCATAAATGAACCAGTTGCGCCTAGCAAAAAAGGTCCTTACCTCATACGAAGGATATCACATTACGGAAATTTTATGAGCAGGTTTACTTGTCATTGATCGTTTTCAAAGGCAAACAAAGCACGAGAGCTACTCAGTTTTCTGAATGGAACTCAAGTGCCGGATGAGGCTTTTTGGGCAACAATCACAAGCAATGCCAAAAGTATGTGAAACATGCTTTGTACATTTACCTATTATACATAAGAAAACTTATGCTTCTACGATATAACTAAGGTTTTCCCGTACCGGGAGCAACAGATGGGCACGAATGGATCAAATATCGCGCCGCTTACCGTAAAAACTACACTGATTATGTGGCAAGGTACGAGCAAGCAGATCCCAGCGAAGCTTCAATGAATTATTATCTTGCAAGGTACCAGCTATGGCAGAAAAAATGGTGCAAAGGTGGGGTTTGAATGGTTATTAATTTCGTATTCAGCTGCTTTGCAAAATTTTTGATGAGATAGGAGCTATTGGTGGCAAGACTGCTATAAGTCTCATCAAAACTATCTATTATTATGTTATTTTTATATATTTGACTGAAAAACCGTCTGATCTATTTGTGCTCGCAGAAACTTTGCTATTGCAGCTTGGATCTTTCACCACTGAAAGCTGCTTGCCTTGAAAACAAAAAAAAACAATCGACTTAGCTCAAAACTACACCACGAATGAAACCTTACAGTAAAGACTGAAACGGTCAGGATATTAGGTCTCAAAGTTCGTTTGCCACTTTTTTGGAAAATTATAACTTCTTTGCATCTAAATTGAATTGGCTATTTTTTCTCTAAACCAGAAAATTTCATTTATAACAGTACCTTCGAAGTAAATTATTAGGCTGTTACATAAGTCTTGTTACACTCTGTATACTTACAGCGATAAGTCCTACGCTTCATATTTTCACTAGGGCTTTAGGGACCATTCGATAGAGCAAAGCAAGCTCTACAAGATGGCTTGTGCAGTTTCGTACTAGCTTCGATCGGCCGCAAGTTTGAAGCCGTACTTTGAGTCGCACTCAATGCTCAAAAAATCGAAAAAATTTTATATCTTTGTTCAAAAACATCCTATAGATCTCCCGCTTGCTCAAGTAGATAGCACTTCACATCAGGCACTCATATGCACAGTTGCTGTATTTTTTACTCAACTAGAAATCAAAAAAAAATCGAAATCCTCTTACTTCCACAAAAAGGAATCTATGCTGTTTTCACGTATGTTATTGTTTACTACAGTCTTTAAGAAGTACCATTGTAAATTTTCAGCTTCGCACAAGCGATAGTTTTCGAGATACATCGAATTTAGACCTCTTCACTCGGGTGTTCCACATTGAAATCGGCATTTCTCGAGAACTGGACCTTATGAAAGGCTGAAAATTTACGTTTACATTTCTTGAGGCCTGTAGTTAACAATTACATGCGTGAAAACAGCATAGCTTCGTTTTTATGTAAGTACAAAAATTTCGATTTTCTCGACTCCTAGCTAAGCATATAATACAATAACTGTATATATGAATGCCTGATGTGCAGTGTTATCTATGTGAGCAAGCGGGAGATCGATAGGATGTTTTCGAACAGAGAAATAGAATTTTTTGATTTTTTGGGCACTGAGTACGACTCGCATTTCGGCTCCAAATTTGCGGCGGGTCGAAGCTAGTACGAAACTGCACAAGCCATCTTGTAGAGCTTACTTTGCTCTATCGAATGGTACCCTGAAGCCCTAGTGAAAATGTGAAGCTTAGGACTTATAGCTTTGAGTAGCCAGAGTGTAACAAGACTTATGTAACAACCTAATAGTATGAAAAAATTTGAGAGGCAATTGAAGAAAAACTCAAGCTTGGCATTTTTCAAGCAGAGTCACGAAAAAGTCTGAAAGTATATTTTTTGCTAGAGAAAATTATGCGCACTACGACACTACCTTTGTCTCAAAAAAACAACAACGAGAAAATGGAAAGTTATACTGTCGCTACTCCGTTTTCTAGCCTATACCGCAGAATTGCCTTCATACCTCAAGACACATCCCAAAATCAAAATCCAAGTGTTCGCGGACGACATCAGATTGTATTTCTGTTACCAAAACTATCAACAAAAGGAAGCATTTGAAGCGGCCATTCAAAGATGGTTTGCTAGTTCAAAGAATGGGATCTTCCCCTAAATGCTCTCAAAGCTAAAGTTATGCATTTTGGTACTTCTCATCTTCCATCTTACTCGTGTGATGGTGTTACTCTTGAATGTTGCACTACCACCCAAGATCTTGGAGTTCTTATAGAAGATCAACTGAGATTTTCCCATCACTATGAATCAATTGTCAAAAAAGCTTTTGCAAGTCTCTTCGTCATCTTGCGCAGTATTCATTGTAATGATCCCTTGACTTTAGTCAAACTGTATAAAACCTATGCTTTACCAAACTTGGGGTACGCTTCGCCCGCGTGGAATCCGTTTTTAAAAAAAGACATAAACTCTCTCGAAAAGGTCCAAGAAACATTCACCAGAATCGTCTTTTACAGATGTTTTCCTGATCCAAATTACCCCTAATCCTTGCCATCTTACATCCAGACTTTTGGCATCAAATCTGCACAGTTTAAAATACAGACGAATTTTCAATGATCTTGTCTTCAGTTTTTATTCAGACTGGAGACAAGATTGAAATCCAGTAAGTTTTAGATTTTCAGGCCTTGTGGAAGCAGAGTAGGAGGTCTTCGCATCTCTTATCGTAAAGTAAAAAGCAAAAAATTTTCGACCTCTCAGCGGGGTATAAATACCGGTAAATAGGGGGGAGCAGTCAGAGCGTGAAGAGAGCGCTCCAGGGAGTTCAACCCATTGACGACGATGTGGATCACCGGTGGCCCACGCACTTTTTGCTGCCAGGGACGATGTGGACCACCGATGGCTCAGAGCCCTTACAAAGTCATATGCTTTCCAGGTTTAGTATTTTTCCATAGTTCAGTTTCTCTTCTAATTTTTTGCATTCTTGGAATCTGTGGACTTCGTCGTCCATGAAGATTATTGAAGTTGTTCACAAAACAACTTTACATCTCGTGAATAACTACAAAACTTTCCCACACCGAAAGTGTTGTGCAATATCGCGTCGTCCCACAGCGCCGCCAGGCAAAATTAGGCGTCGTCGTCAATGGGTTAAAAGAGCCGTCGTAGAGAGGCGGATCTCACCCTTAGATAGAAGAAGCTAGAGAACCCTGCTGAAAGGGCGAGTCGGGTCGAAGTTCAGTTGTTATGCATAGCATTCTGTTCTTGTTGTTCTAGTTTTGTGCTATAAAAATAAACTCTTGTACTCAAACCCGTGTTCCTTCATCGATCAGGTTCTATCCGGACTTACCACTAGACCATCCCCCGTTACATGGGGGCCGAGCCATTGCTTTGATCGACTGTAAACGCGGGGTACGAGTACGGATATCCAGACACAGCAACGAAGAACGCTCAGAGCAGGCAGATAAGGTATAAGGGAGAAGTGATTATTGATCAAATCATCCACGCATATAGAGGCGTGAGTATTGATTGTGATTGACTTTCTTCAATCAGCTGAGAGGCGCGATTTCGCATGCGGCGTTGATTACCTGAACGTAAAGGCAAGGTGAAGCATTTCGCTGCCGAGTACATTCATGCCCATTGATATGGATCATAGGAAAGAAGTGGCAAAGCATATCCATGAGAGAAAAACACATATAATGATGGAGGAGTCAAGCCTCATCAGAAACGAGGTAGAAATGATACCTGAGACTGTGGGCAGGCTCCTGAACCGAGGTAGGATAACGGCTGATGGATTGCCACTTGAAGAAGAGGTGGAGGCTAAGGTAGCCACAGTGTTAGGTAGGCTGGAGAGCTTAACAGCCGAGTTAAAGCAGATATTCGGTCCCAGAGCAACGGCAGTTGCAGAAAGGGAAGCAACGGGTTGGTTGGGTTGCTGCAGCAAGGTATACGGGAAAAGAAAGAACCCGAGAGGCCATTCCATACAAATCCTGAGAGTACCGAAATGATGAAGAGGGGGCAACATTGCCCATGTGTCACATCAAAAGAGCCAGATTCTTGGCAGTTTAGCAATCTGATGAGAGGGTCAAATGACCGAACACACGAGAATCATCGAGGTGTGTAAGATCAGTTGCTCAGCTATCTTCAAAGCATGACTTTTCCTGATCCTGGAGTCTTCAAGGGCTATGAGGATGAAGACTTTGACAGGTTTATTCGAAAGTTAAAAGGAAGTATGCTATCATCGTCCAAGATGAACAGTTGCTGATAGAGCTCCTGGGCGACGAACACTTGGAAGGAAGGGCGAGGTCCCTGTTCCTGAGCATACCCGCGGCGGTAAAACGCCAAGGGTTCGACAGAGTAGTGAGGGAATTGTTCTCACTTCTGGCCTGTGATTCCACAGCGGCTAGGTTGAAGGCGTTGACAGCCTTGAGAAACATGCGCTTGAGGCCAGACCAGGGAGTCGCGGACTTCTGTGCCGCCCTCGAGAACCTAGCGAGGAAGGCCCCTCAATGTACTATTGAGGATAGATTGATATAATACGCACAGATTTTGCTAGAGAATCGACAGCATGGCCGGAATACGTACAACTGGTGGGAACCCTACATCAAGTGGATCCAGCCGAGGAATATAATAAGATAAAAGGTGGCGATTGAAATCGAACAAACGCGAAGGCTTTGTAAATTTGAGAGAAGGGGCGCACAATAAGTTCCGACTTGGAGGAAGGCAAGTAGAAATGAAGGGTACGTCTAACTATGACGCAAAGTCGAAGCAGCTCAGCGGAGAGAGGCAAAAGGGAAGACGGTATGAGAAGGCAGGAGCCAACGAGTCGCTCGTGTGCCTATGATGAGGATCAGGAAGAAAGAAGATGCTTTAAATGTGGTCACTTCGGACATGTGATAAGAGATTGCAAGTACAGGAAAACGGACATTGAAAGCGCTACCAAGGCTTCGACTGGGGTAACATCCATGATAAGAAGGAGCCGTAATATGGTCGTAAAAACCTCTGTTGAGGCAAACGAAATTTTGGTAGAAGAAAGTTGGTGTCGCGGATTCGCGGCTTCCATCAAAAGAGACCGCCGCCGCGCTGCGAAGGGGTCCCGAAATGCTGTCCTCGCGCTGCTCCCGCCTTCCCATCGCCCGCTGCAGCTTTCAAATCAGTCGTCAATTTCGTTACCTGGTGAGCGGTTGGGTCCCAATTTCGTCTCCCATGCTATCGATCGATGCAGCGCCGTCCCAACTCACGCGTCGTCTACATCCAACACGCCACGGAGGACAGGCAACCCCGCAGACGAGGTAACCCCGTGAGCGCTCACGCCTGGTATACGGCGACACCGCCATGGGGGTTTTCCGATATTGCTGGCCCCAAGGATAAGATGGCTGATTGTGCTCCACCCTTGTGTTTGAGATTAGGGAATTGTTGTGGATAATGGTGGGCATTTTACATGTGTGATTTGTTTGGAGCGGTGGGCCACAACTCGGCTGTGGCTCCCGGGATATCTCATGTCATCATAGTCATTTTGTATTATAATTTTGCCTAGTTTAATCCATCTGTCAAAAGGGTGGCACGATACCGTTTAAGTGCCCTGGTTATAAGTACTGTGCCCAACTGTCGAGAGTTGAAAGTGTGAATCTAGCCGCAGGTGCCGAGTAACTGCTAAGCAGGCTGGTGGCAAGGGCCTCTACGTGTGTATGGAGTACCCATGTGGCAGGCACAATTAGCGTTCACACAGGTAGCCACCTCACATGATACGTTTCACTCTTTCAGAGCGGACCCCTGGCTCTCCTCGCCGACGCAGGAGAGCCGTAACACCACTGACGTTGGGAGCTGGGGGCCCAATCCGCGGCAGTTGGCTCGAGCGAGGATGTTGGGAAGACCGGTGTCAGCACTCATTGACACGGGTTCAATGATAAGTATACTACCCGTGAAAGTGCTTGTAGAAGCAAGGAACAGTGGGTACGATGTCGAATCACTTCAGACTTTTGACATTGTGGAAGGAAGCATACGATGCATCAAACCATGTAATGAGCTTTCTCGGAGGTGTAAAAGTAGAAGTTGAAGTAGAAGGAGGATGCAAGAAGGAAGTAGCCTTTCATGTTTCGGACGATACGAATGAGGAAGTACTCATTGGCACAAATGCATTAAAGAGCCTTGGAAGTAGTGATACATCAGAAGCCTGAAGCAAGATAAAAGCAAAGGATAGGATGGTGCCTCCACACAAGAGAAACGTCGCCTCACGGAAAGAGGGAGCTGATTCACTTTTAAAGTACTTCACCATGTTTGAGAATGGCCACTTCAGTTGAGTGCCGCAATATTGAGAAGCCCTCAGAATTCACAGAAACTTGGCCCACAGGGTTAATTGACTGATAAATACGAATATGTTACTAATCATGTTTGATAGAGCCTTTATGTCATACCCACGGTAGGCAAACTATAATGATGGGGCGGGGGGAGGAAGGGGGTCGTATCTTGGCGGTTGTGTGCCACACCCCTTGTTAGACCCCTGACTATAACTCTGTCAGTCACCATTTTACAGATAAAGATCACTATTTCCTACTTTCAAGCGGTAAATTTTTCGGTGGATAGGGGCAGAGAAAATCTTTTCCAAATGGGTAAATTATCAAGCTTTTAGGAATTTTTAGAGTGCTTCCGAGTTTTTTTGACCTATGACTCAGACTATAAGAACCGGGAGAATTTCATAGCCAATCTAAAATTTTCAATACTTTCAAAAACTCTTTTGATTTGCAAGTGAAAAACACCTGCTTAACTCTATAACTTACGTAGTTGTCTTGTGAATGCTCTCATCCCTTTTTGATGCAGCATTTTCTTTGTCCCTTTTTCAATTCTATATGTCAGTTCCCTGTCCTCATTATATTTTCCACAATATATCGATATTGGCAAAACATGAAAAGAAGCCTACATCCCCCCGCCCCGCCTCGAGAAACTTTAGGTACATTTTGTAGCGCTAACTTCAACTTAGATTTGCGGTATAGAGTTACCGACTTACATGTAGGATTACGGTAGGAACTTTGAAAAGGGTTTTGAGCTATGAAAGGCTATCTTTTGCCTCGGAAACAAAACAAAACAACCTAAAACTTTTACAGGGCTAATTAGAGTTGCTGATTCTAAATGTAAAATTCGCAACCTTTTATAATGCTTCATTAAGAAGTTATGCCAGGTAAGCAACAGCAACCATTTTTTCAATGTTTCTAAAAAGTGCCGTTACACATTTAAAAAAGCTTCGCAATTTCGACTGAATAATAGCGTAAACACCTACAAACGAGCACGATTACGCGAAACAATACTCAACAATAACAAAGCGGTGGCGTAAGAAATGAAACTGAAACATGCATGAATTTGAACTGAGGAACAGTTGTCGCGCTCTGCCGCGGCTGGGCTGCTTAATTTGAATTCGCCCACTGAGCGACTAGTGGGGTGAGGATGACTATGTATGAAACGGCATCAGTTATAGGTAAGATGTGGAGGCATTCATGTCTTTTTGGCTTGGATGATATGGCGGATGTCATCATACAACCTCATCTCATCGCACATAAATTTCATCTCACCTTCCAGCCAGCCGCGTTTTTGTGCATTATAAAGGTAAGATTATTTTGAATCGGTATGGCCGTACTTTCACACTCTGTTAAAAGTTATGTTTATCAATCGAAGGCTGCAGACTATTCTGTTTGCATGTAGATTGTCAGAAGTCGAGGTGGTCCATCTTCCTGCTATTCTGCACCCTTATGTCGTGCTGTCTTCTACGTGAAATTGTGAGTACTTGTTCCCGGGTTTGGCACTCTTAATGAAATACAGGTAATTCACAAACATGGCGCATATAGCAATGGTGTGCGGACTAATAAACCAATTGATGCTCTGTCTTTTGTCTGTTTTATTCAATGTTCACCCTCAGCATCCTAATATTAACGCCAAGTTGGGGACCCGGGGGGGGGGGAGGGGGGGGGGGAGCGACCATTACTTGTGGATGTCAGTTAGAAAATGCCGCGACGCGGGCTCACAGTAACCTTAGCGAGAGGCAGCAGGGCCGGAGGAAATGTTCCAGAGGACATGTTTAGGGTCACGTTGTTACAGTGAACAAAAAGTGCATATTTTGTGAACAGATACGTAGTATTTCCATATTTTGATTCACTATATTTTTCAATTTTGAAGCCAAGCTTCTATCAAACAGTAAAATCTGATATGATAGCGTAAAAACCCTTACAAAAAAAATAGAAGAGTATGCCTTGCAAGTCGGCTACCCGAGCTCTCCTCGCAGCCATTACTACCAGCCTGTCGCACGCGGCGCCTGCGTAATTGACAGTCACAAGTAATGGGATACACCCCTCTCAAACTGCTGAGAAAGGCATACTTATTGACTGCTAATGAGCTTTTATTCGTAACTCTCTTCATTTCTCGCTCTCCTATTTTTGATTAATCTTGTCATTCCTTCTATACCATGAACAGTCGTCAAAATGAGCTTAAAGGCAGCGTCCAGGCAAAAAGTCGATTTTGAGATTTTGTGCTTACCCAGGCCTATTCGCTATGCTGAATCCGAAAATCACCACTAGAGAGCGCGAAAACGGCGAAAAAGGGGTCTAACGCAGGAGGAAAATCAGCAGGGGACGGAGCGTCCGCCAGGGTGGATTCTCGCTCCCAGCTTCCGAAGCAATCTTCTCGGTTCCGATCTCAAATCACGCGTTTGCACTTGGCCGGTAGCGATGTTAGGGCGACTAAAGGAACCGAGAAGATTGCTCCGGAAGCTGGGAGCGAGAATCCACCCTGGCGGACGCTCCGCCCCCTGCTGATTTTCCTCCTGCGTTAGACCCCTCTTTCGCCGTTTTCGCGCCCTCTAGTGGTGATTTTCGGATTCAGCATAGCGAATACCGGGTAAGCACAAAATCTCAAAATCGACTTTTTGCCCGGACGCTGCCTTTGAAGGCAGTGGCTCAGGAAAATTGGAACTGCGAGCTTTCTGTCCCTCCTGCCTTTCTGGATGCGTTTGGACCAGAGCTGTGCTCGAAGAGTAAAAAAGTGCTTTTCTGGCGTTTCCCGGCCTTGGAGATTGCTGAGGAGGCCGGAGCGGAGAATCCCCCCTAAAACAGTGACTGCCGCAGGAGACTATAACACATTCATTTTGGTGGCAATTTGCTGATTAGCCCATTCAGCCAATCGCATTCGGCTGCGGGAATCTCCGTTCCAGCCTCCTCAGAAATCTCCAAGGCCGGAGGACGCAATAAAAAGCGTTTTTATGACTTTTCAAGCACAGTTCTTCTAAACGCATCCAAAAGGCCAAGGAGGAACAGAAAGCGTGCAGTTGCAATTTTTCCGAGCCACTGCTTTTTGCAACTGAAATTACAAGTGAACTTCCAAAATTTACAGCTGGTTACCTGTCTTTACGTTGAAAATGTTGTACCAATAATAATGCAGAGGAGTAGCTGACGTTTGAACTGGTTCCACTCACTCAGCGCTGCGCTAATGTTTTCACAACTTACCAAATGCCCTACGCCCCCGCTCAACGTTGGGGAAAACATTTTTTGTGCCTACAGCAAAAAAGCGGTTTTCAAAAGTTCCTCTTCTTCCATCAACAAGTTAATGGGAAAATGTGTGACACTTTTGACTGTGAATCGGTCATGCTTTTTTCACCTACTATCTCAGGATTTAAGATGAGCACGAGAATGGAAGAATGATTCGGCGACTTAGCGCCATTCTAACTCACTGTGGCAGTGAGTTCGCTGTTACGAATTTTTTTCAAGCTTCCAAATGTTCAACAATTGAGTTCAGCAGCGTTCCGACTTTATATTTGATGGACTATAGACCATGTTAAAAATCAATTGCGCGCTTGAGGGCAGTGGCTCGGCAAATCTCAACCTAATCAAAATTTCGCTTACGGTTATTCAGTATGCTGATTTCGAAAATCCACTTCTGCGAGCTTGAAAACGGCGAAAACGAGCGTTTTCCAAAGCCCTTCCCTTCGGAATTGAACGAGTGGAGCAAGATGATGATGCTGGATCGTTGCGGGACCCAACGGTTATAGCATTGCGGCGGGCAGCCTCCAGTGGTGAGGAGGAAATTGCCAACTCGTCCGGGAGCTGTAAGACTGGCCTGCGCGTGTAAGTTTGGGAGCCATTTTCTCGGCAGGGATGTCATGCTGTGCAACCAGGATTGCACTGTTTTCATACTTGGGCAATAAGGAACCTATCGCGTTAAAGTCCTGAGTTGTTGAGTTTTGCCGATCCACTGCCTTTAACCTTCAAGACTAACGCGTGCAGCGGCTGGAGACGTGAAGTCTGGAAGCGCTATAGCTAGCTATAAAGCGCTATAGGTATAGTTCTCCAATTAATGCGGTGCAGGAAGGACCAAAGACCTGCCGCCTGTAGCCGCAAGAGATAATTAGGAGCGCGAGCACTGTGGAAAAGATTTTGGCAAGGATCCAAAAAACTTTGCGAGGCATTCATTAGAAACAAACTCTTATAACTCTGCTTGGAATTAACTTTCAAAGATATGAAGGACAAATTTGAAATCAGTATTGAAATGCGCATTTTTCAGTAATACGCCTAGTGAATAGATAAACTACTCTGTCTCACTATCGAATTCTATTTTTTTAAAAACGAGACTTCAAAATTTACCATTAAAAGGTGGTTTGACGCTCTGTGAAATATTCCAAGTTCAATTCTGTGAAAAATTTTTGGTGCATTTTTTGATTTGTGGATTGGAAGTTGAAAGTAGGGAGTGCTAATCAGAAGATAATGTTAACTAAGTCATGCGAGAAACTTTTTCTATTGTGTACAACCTCGAAAGGATTCGACATAGTTTCAATGGCAAATCCTTTGAAATCTCTAGTGTCAAAATTTAAAATCAAAGTAGGGACACCTGACAACTGCATGTTGCATCTAATCAAGCCTTCAGATGTGTTCTTACGACATTTTGGTTGTTTTGGTTCACTGACTCAAAAGGCAAAATTCCTCTATCTAAAAAAAAGAATTTTGAATGAAAATCTCGGTCTTCAACAATTTGTAACTCCAAACATAAAACAAAAAGTTTCTAAAGGGAGTTGACTTTTCTTACCACTACGACTCCAAATTTTCACTTACTTTTAGGCCCTGAATGCGCCTCCCAATTTGCATTAAAATCTGATTTTCAAATCTTTCAAAGTCATCTTCAGGAAGAGTTATGAAGGTTTGCTTCCAAGGGATTTCCTTGCAAAGTTTTCTTGGATTCTTGCCAATAAAATATTCTTCACAGCGCTCGCGCTCTCAATTATCTCTTGCGAATATAGGCGGCAACCCTTTGATTCTTCTGCATCGCCCCCCTCTCCAAGCGTTATAGATATCCGATAGTAAGCGCGCACCTTCCTTCAAAATAGTTTTACAATTTTGTAAAGTTACTTTGGTTAGAACATATGCTGAAAACAAATGAGTGTTGAACGGAAAATTCTTATGCCTATAGTGTCTCACAACAACCCCTTGTTTATGTGGTGTTCAAGGCAGGTGGCCGGTGATTGGGTTTTACAAGGTCTGTTTACTAAATTGTTCGCGAATGATTTTTTTTTCATGCGTACTGCTCACTTGTTTGGTTTTGTCAAAATTGATGAATGTAATATGAAAACGTCTCATGAAAGCTCTTCAACCTGAAAGTTGAGTGGTTAGCTGTGTGCCTACTGAAGATTTTACGATGAGCTAGCTTTCATGTATAAAAGCACAGTGTTAGAATGTGTACATCAGTGGATACTGCTTTTCACTGCGCGTCACCTTAGCTAGTAAATGATGTGCAAAGAAGTGAATTTCGCCAACATGTTGAGCACAAGGACAAGAACTGCAGCTACAATGCTGGAGCTTTTAGGGCCCACCAGCGCTGTGACTAGTCTAGAAAAGGGTGCTGCATCTTGAAACCAGTAAACACATCATGTGGATATGTATAGGGCGGCATTCATTCACGATGGTGACGGCAATCGTGCGCTTCGCGTATGTTTTTGGCAACTCTTTTTTATTAGCTTACGTCTCTATTCCCTTTTCTGCATGCGAAAGATAGCTGTTGGGTCATGGGCGGGGGGGGGGGGGGGGAAGAGTTGAGCAATAAAGCGATAACTTTTCTCAAGAGGTTTCGTTCTTGTTACGTTTGGACGGGCACGAAGGCCGCAGTTACAATTTTATGAAGGGCCTACAACAAGATTTTCGGGTTCCAGTTTGCAGAACGATCACTTCGACTATCGACCACTCCGCGTTGAGTAAAACCATTAGCCTTTCTTTGACAAACAGTTTTATCTCAGATCGAATAAGTTATACAGCCTTTATTGCTTAAATTTATCAGTTCAGGAAATACGTGCAAGAGAAGCGAGGCCGTCAAATCTCAACCTAAGCTTGTACGCGGAAATACCACAAGTGGAACTCAGTGCTGGTTTGTCATACGATCAGTTGAGTCATCGAATCTGGATGATCAACAAACATTGGATAGGGGACTAGATAGACAAGATTATAGTTTCATTTCCTGGTGTTGACACCAGTGAACAATGAACAGAACTAATTGCAATATATTATTGAGATGAAATACGCAAATTTAGTAAATGTTATAATTTCTACATTATAAACATATTGAGAGAACACACGTGCGGCTTGTCGCCTCAATGTGCTGCAACTCCATACAAACTGTTTAAGCCATATATCATTTCGTAATTGATTATCCAAAGACATTTTCCAAGAGAAAGATCGCTTTTTCTTTTCTATCGCGTCGGAGCTTATCATTCACGCAAAATTTTAAACTCTAAGGAATAATTTTTTGTCACCTCAATAAAGCACTTAATTCATTGACCTACTAAAACACTGAGCTCGTTCAGAGTCAAGCTCCATTCATTATGACATCGTGATTTATTTAGATAAACGTCTAGTTTTGGTCTGTGTTTTCAGATCTAAGCGACATGCTACTCACTGACGTCTAGAATTTGTAATGTGGAAAGGGAAACCTGCGAAAGGAAATTTGTGGTGCTTAATAACAATCCGCAGCGAACGATGTTTGAGCGGACATGAAAAGTCAGTGGAGCTCAGAATGACGCGAGAAAAATAACAGTGTTTTTCCTATTATTTAAGGCAGGGCAGTAGTAAAGGAGAGTGACAGAAGCCAGGAATAGCTTAAGTGACATCAACCTATGCTTCAATTAGAAAAATTAGTTGTTGAAGAATTCGAGAAATTCTTGAGGGAGAGGGAAGATTATGAGCTTCTTTTGCCTAGTCAGCGTGGCCGGCAAGCCGCGGCAAGCATCAGCGAATTTGATGAAAACTTGGGGTCTTTCAGTCTTTGAGTTCTGAACTTCCCATACATTGCCCTTATTCTCCAATGCGCGTACAAATAGCAAATCGCACATCTTGGCTCGCTGTAAATTACCCAATTGTTTCCCTTAGGCAAATTCTGAGTTTTCGCTTTGTGCAAGATCGTTGTAGAGTAAGTAGTGGTAGTCCCGTCTTGACTTATTCATGAACTGCTGGAAGTCGGGCGGCACTACACATATCTGCACAAATATATTCTCCCTCACTTTTCTCGAAAACCTCTCTTTGGAAACGAAATCTTGTTTGCTATGTGTCAACCGTGCCAAATCCTGCCAATTGCCATTCTGCTCAACTAAATATCATCCGTTCCTAAGTACTACCCAGAGTAGAGCGAGAGAAAACAACACGTTTTTTGAAAACAAACCTCCCCCCCCATGCTGCATTCCTTAAACGATCCCTCTTTCCTCATCATCATTTTCAAAATTTCACTGTGTAGAGAGAAATTCAGCTTTAAGAGGACCTGCCACTGCAAACAACTGCACGAAAGGTGATCTGGTTATGATTTTCAGTATGAATGTGGTAAACCCATACTTAGCGGTCTGAGGACTCTTATTCAGTTAAATGCGTTAGGCAAGGCTATAAAAGCTTAGGCAGTCTGAATTTGAGGTTCTGTGCCTCACGTCATTGAAGTTATTCTCAAAGAAACTTCTTAACTTCGTCAAACTTTGCTTAAAAGCTCCCGAAAGCTCCCAAAAAGCTCAGAAGCGCTGCAAATACCAGAAAGCGCCAGGACGTCTCTTTTGCGTGCGGGCGTTTGACGCCGCAGCGTTCATAATGCATTGTACATATTACAAGGACACTACATTTCTACACATTGAACGACTACATTTTGATCACGCTATGTCGACGCAAGCTCCATCATACTAATACTTTTGCTTTATCAATGCGCCTTGATTCGATCGCTAAGCGTGAGTGGTTATTCTTCGGATAAAATCTCAGTCTACCTCGGTCAACGCCGAACGGAGGGCTTATTCGCACGAAAGTGCCTTGATGAATTGTGCATAATTGTTATTTTCACACCTTGCGATTTAAGGCAGCGGCTCGGCAGAATAGAACTACCTCAGAGCCTGACATAGATGGATAGGAGGCCCTCCAAGTAAACCAAAAGAGCAACTCCGGGCCGAAAATATGAATTCTGCAAGCAAGGGGAGCGAACCAAGCTCCGCTCCCCTTCCTCCTTTCGCTCCCCTAACACTGTGCGGACGAGTATGTTCGCCGCTAGAAAACGCGCCGTCACTCGCAGCTTCGTAGGGCAGAATTGTTCTAGCGCTCTCTATTTCCTTACTCTGCGTCTCTGACGGCAGAGAAAAACAGCTCACTCGTCCACGCCCGTCTCAAGGGGGGTTTCAAAAGACGGGGTTTTTCCCATTTTCACGCTAAGGGAAGTTCATGTCGTGATTCAGGGGGCCGGAATAGCCCCAAATCTGCCAAAACCCCGAAGTTGAAAATCTGCCGAGCAGCTGTTTTTAAGGTGGCCAATTAGAATGGGCTGCATAATATTAGATGCGTCTTGATGAGCTGATTCCAAATCTAACCTTTACATCTGCAATGCGTTCTCTGGAAAAGTTATGTGCGCTTAAATGTCCAAATTTGGCAAACATTCAGCGCCACAACCTCAAGAACTACCTGTTCAAAACACATATCTGTGTCAGCGGTAAATGTGAGCGTCCCCTGAAAGCAGTATACTTTATATTCTGCTAGCCATGCACTTTCAGATTGGATTTCAAAGCACATCATACAATTAGAGCTCCAGTAACCTCAGACATTTGAATACAACTAGACGTGTGAAGTCACTAGATATCTGACATACGATGAACTTTGTTTCCAACTTAAGTGCTTGACTAGCAAGACATTCAGTGTACTGATTTTAGGGGGTACTCATTACCGAAGACAGAGATGTGTTTTCTAACCAGTAGTCATTGAGGATGGCGCTTTAATCTTTGCCAAATTTGGACATTCAAACGCTTATAACTTTTCCGGAGAACGGGAGAACGACAGTGCAGATACATAAGATTTTAAATCCTCATCAAGACGCATCTAGTGATATGTGTTTCATTTCAATTGGCCACCTCAAGTTGGGATCGTTCCCTATTTAGTCATTAGATAGTCATGATATTTCTGACGTTATCATCCTGGATTGCATTTTGAGGTTTTGAGCTGAGGCCCGGCAAGACTTTGCTCAAAAGCGCCCTTCGGGGCTTTTGAGCGAAGTCTTGCCGGGGCCTCGTTTCAACACAATTAGCACAAATCTCGGACTTTCTCTAGTATTTGAATCTTCGCCTTGCATTGGCTTTGTGTTGGTCCACAATAAAGCACTCGAGGTGAGAAGTGGTTGTTATAATTTGGAAGCGTTTTTAAATCCACCTGAAGACTAAAGGATACGGAAGTTGGCGTTCAACAAGGAGATATGCCCCATTATGGTCCCTTCTGCACTCATAACATATCCACTTTCCAAATCTGCGGAACGGTTATGTTAAAAAAATTACGGCCCTCATTCTACTAGTTTTGCCCTGGTTACAGACGAATACGAGTATTTATGCATCATCACTACGTCAGTAATGGGGGAGCGGAGCTTACATACCCAGATATAGTTAGCAAAGTTCATAGGAGGTCATAAACTGGCAGCAATTCCGATTTGCACCCAACCAGCACCGAGGAGAGCTTATTCTGCACACGTAACTCCGCCAGCATTCTACACTTCATAAAATCTACGTTTTATTGAAATTTCGAACTTAAAGTTCAGTAATGAATTCAGTACAATTAAGGCAAGAATTGTGTTTGGGGGTACTTTCCAAGCTGTTTTTGATTATGATGGTGGTTTCGCTTGAAACCTTGAAATACTCATCTTTTTTCTTGAATTCTGAACCTGTTCACAAATTTTCCGACAAAAATCCAGATTTGTTATCTGAGGGTTTTCTATGACGCTTTTATCTTGCTTGTCAGTTTGAGTTTTTCATTCGAAGCTTCAACTTCTTTCAAAAAATTACCGTTTTTCAATATGCTGTGGTTTTGCTCAACTTGAAAGATTCTGAAATACTTGATAATTGAGAGATTGATATTTCGTAATTTAAAGGATTTGTGAGTTTGTTTTCGTTATCAGCTCATCAAGCCTACACTAAAATTGTGAAAAAGGTTAAACCAAGAAATTCCAAGTTTGAGAAATGAGAGTTTTAGGTAAGACATTAGCGTATTCGAAAACAGCATCATGTAAAACTTTCAAACAACAATTTTGGAATTTTTGCCAGAAATATTTTGAAAACAAGTTTAAAGAACAAAAAAATTCCAAAGTTCCAAACAAAACCACCGTTGTATTCGGAAACAGCATGACAAAGTACCCCCAAATACAAATTTTTACCCTCATTGGACAAAATTCACCACTGTTCAAGTTCGAAATTTCATTAAAATCTCCGTTTCGTAAAATGCAGGATGACGGCGGAGTTACCGTGTGTAGATTCAGCTCACCTTGATGCTAATTAGGTACAAATTAGCGTTGCTGCCAGTTCATGACCTCTCATAAACCTGCTAATTACATGGCGGCGAGCCTCTCTGGGTATGTAAGTCCCTCACCCCAGGAATATGTTTCGAAACTGTTTTTTTTTGTTTGTTTCGAAAAAAAATAAATTCTATGCTGATTTTCAAAAGAATTCGAATTCGTTAAAAACGCAGAAGCGATGGTCACCCACCAGATTCATGACTGGCACGTTATGGCTAAATGCCAGCTGCTCTCGCAACTGCACTATCACCGTTTCCATCAATGATGCCTCATTACTCAATTTGGCTTTAAATAAGCCAAAACCAATGTCTTCGGGAGTCCGTAAATTCTTTGGCAGAATCGTTCCGCAGATTTGGAAAGCAGATATGCTATTAGTATCTACCCGAAAGGACCGTGATGGTGTACATCTCATTGTTGAACGCCAGTGCGACTCTGTATCCTTCCCATGTAAAAGCAATATGAAATGCATTAGGTTGTCTCATAATTTCCAAGTTTTCTGAAATAATAGTCTTCTTGTTTCTTTCTTTTAATGAGTGCAGCTGGATTACCATTCAGGTTTTCAAGGTGATCACCGAGCATCGCCCCGTAATCCACGTAAAGTTTATAGCTAAATTCTGATATCAGTCAAAAGTCGAATATGCAGTAACGTATCGGCGTTCCAGAACATCCCACAGATCCCCTACTCATCCAGACAATTGGCACATTACACATATTATCATACAACTTCCGTATATTTCTGTTGTTAGAAATGAGGAAATGATGGAGGCAAAATATTAAGGTGATTCAAAAGTAATGGGGCACCTTGATTTTTTGAACATTCTTCAAGATCTCTTTCCGATTAGCTAAGAACAACCAGCAATTTGAACGCCTTTGTATAAAGTAACCTTCATAGATTATCTCGACAACACCTTGCAGCACCTCACCAACATTCCTTCGAGCGGCGCTTCAAAGAAGTCTTTTTTGAACGCCATCCGAATTTGTGCTGCTGCACCTGAAGATCCGTCGACATATGGAATACCATTCGAATTTCTAATGATTACTGAATTATTCAAAAATTATCCATTATTTCATACAAAAAAGACACTTTATTCGAAAAAATGCGGTGTTTGCCGCAGATTTTCAGACTATAATTCATGTTTTGGCCCATAATTTTTTGAAAATGAGAAAGGTCGAAGTAAATTGCATATGTATGGATAAAGCGTAAAAAGCGCTATCAAAAGCAACTGTCAAAGTTGGACTTATTTGATTACCTTGATGAAAGAATGAGTAATATGCCACCTGATACTCAATGCTATATCTTCTGTTCTAAAGCCTGGGGACCACCGAGCTATCGTGAGTTTGGTGATATTACACCGACCCATTGCTGCGCAGATATACTTGGTAGGCTCACTTGTTCTACTGCGGCGCTGCTGCTCAAAGTTCAAAATTACTTGAAGTGATGAGCTTTGATTTTAAGCGCTTATAAAAAAAACGCCACGTGACAGTCCCAACTATAGACCTCGATCAGAAGGAAAAACTTGGACTTCCAAATAACTTTTCTGTTTGAGAAAACTGCATTTATTCTCTAGGTGCTCCATTACTTTTGGATCACCCTAATAGTAAACCGTCTCCGGTTCTGGGTTTCCACGCGCAAAATCATATAGCTTATGCATTGAGAAGTACGATCATATATGTGTACCCTTGTACAGTCTGCTCCAATCGGGATCAGGCCGAACCGCTGGCGTAAATTTGCGCGCGCGCAGCGCTAGCGGTCTGCGCTGCATATGCGCGCCGTCGGAGAGAGCAAAAGGACTAAGGAGGGAGCAGAGAAGCAGGCCATGGGCGTGACCGCGAACCCTTACCGACGCGGATTCCCGCCATGCCAATTTTGGCCTGGTTGGGATTGGGGTAGACTGTAAGTGCTCTCGCCTTTCAGAAGTACTCGTGCTATTGTTGGAACTGGAAAAAATTGTGACAGCCTCATAATTCCTAACAAAGTTCATCAAAGGGTAATTTGTTACAGGTATGAGAAGTCTGACTTTCTTTGTCTCCACGAACGAGTTAGTCAAATTGAGCACACTCACGACCATATCATTCACGGTGAATCGACATCTGTGATTTCGGACCGTACGATCCAAAGGTGGGTCGTACATTTTCTAAAGCTGTAATATTGCTACTTTACGAAGCTTTGCAAGCAAACTGGGCAAGCTTCTGTGTACATCTTTTGGAATATTCTAGAAGTTAACGTCTCAACCATGGAAGACTCAAGGGGGTCGTGATCTTGATATCACGAGATATGATCTGGTCCCCGATATGGCATTTATCAAAAAATGGCTAAACCAATGTGTTGAAAATGCGCTTCTTGAAGGTTCAAAGGTACAGGAAGCAAGTAATGGTCTCCAGAACTCATGGAGGCGAATTGATATGGTGATTTCGGTGACTTCGGCGCACCATTTTATGTACATGGCGATCCGTTGTTGCGCGTGCACAGCTATTCCCTGCTTATTCACCTACGAAAACGCCCTCTACGTAATCCATGAGCCTCTAATCCAAGTGTAGTTTGGTATGCACTTGTCTAATCGGATTGAGAAATAGCAATTTATTCTTTCCTTTTTCACGCGCTGTCATAATCGAGTAACTTCAACAGTACAGTCTTGCATCTTATCTTCTCGAGACATTCTTGGACCCATCTTATCTTCTCGAGACATTTTTGGACTATGTCGACTTCTCTTTCCACGATTCTCTATTTCGTAAGCATCCGGCTGGAATATTAATGATTTTTCTTGAATCTAAAATTTTGAGCTATAAGTAGAGAATGCTGATGCACATATAATGGAAAAATTCCATTTGCTTGCCATATACTCACTTCAAAATAGTGCAGGACGTTAGCCCTTTGTTTGTTCCGCTTAGCAGGAGCTGTACGAGCAGCATCATTTGTAGAAGGTTGTATATAGTAAGACGGAGGGGCCTTGAGCATGTCTCTGTCACAGGAAATGGTACCTGAATTGATTTTGTCACTCACACACTATTGTTTTTCATCGAACTGAGCTTACCTATCTTATCGTAGAGGCATTTCCCTTTAGCTCGACTGAGCGTTTCTTTGACGGGGTCAACCGGTTTTTCAAACGTTAATTTGGTGTGCCGATATGCGAAATCACCCCATATGGCTGCAATAAAATTTCAAGAAAGCACATTTTATATGGTTCATTTTTAAAATCGTGACCACGAGTTGACTGCGGTCTGCGCACACAGGGCATAAAACACCCATACAAACAGGCATCAACTTGACGTTTAGCACAGCGACTTTCAGTATCTAAGTACTATCACATGTAGGCAGATAGAGACCCGAGTAGAGATGGAAACCAAGGAATGGAAGTGCGTGCGTGTCGCGCGCGGTCGCGCCATCGTCACGATTTTTCGAATGCCCCATAGCTTGTTTAGCTTGAAAGATAAAGGCTTGATATAAAGCCCATGGAGAATTTTTTCCCGAATTATTAGCCTGAACATATTATAATAGTAGTTAGGGTGATAATGCTCATAGATGAATGCATTACCACGTCTAGACTTTCACCAAACAAACATGGGAACTCTGAGCTCCCTCTCCTTCAATTTATAAACTGAACATAACCCTTGGAGGCACTGTCTAAGCAAAATGGGTAGCATTCTTATGTGGGAACCGATGATACCTTCACTGAGTCATTGCTTACGCTGGGACTCAGATGATCCATTTGTGTTCAAGAAATTCAATTTTGAACTCAAATTCATTACCATACTTGAGTGCGCTGATTGACGTCAAAAGCAGTACTGTTTGGGTGGGAGGCGAGCTTTTAACCCCCGTTTTATTAGCTCTCTCTTGCAAACTTTAGTTGGGATGCTCAATCAAATTCCATAAAACGGGCGAAAATACCCAGGTTTGTTAAGAAACTGCCGCTAGATGTTCAGCGAGATTTAAATGACTCAAATGAATGTGTAGGTTAATGCTTACCACAATCATCAATTTGCATCTCTATGGCTCTCTTCCATTCTTGCATCGCTCTGTAATTCTGCGCCGTGATGTAAAAGTCGTAGCCCTCCGCTTCATTGGAGTTTTTTGCCGACATGAGAAGTGTGTTAGGATGAGAGGTGTACAAAATCCGCGTCTTCTGAAAACGACTGAAAACTCAATGTGAAACCATAGGGACAGTCATCGAAGATGGCAGCATTGAGCTGTGAATTCTATCATATCCATGTCACATCGAAGTGTTTTGTGCGGTTACCAATGGCAAATTTTACCATTTCGCGGTTACTCCGCATTTAAGATGTTTTTGATGCTCAAACTGTTGAAGGCAGTGTCCAGGCTAAACCTAAGCCCCTCCGATTAGTGTCGATCCAGAATGTAGGTCCCAGAAAAGGGGCATTCGGTTGGTCCGGTCTTCTAACGTTGTCTGTGAATGGAGATAAGAAGCCTGAAAGTCTCTGGCTGGGCGGAGCTGATATCAGACTCCGCCCACCAGGGACTGCCTCCCGACACGTATTGACATGTTAGAAGCTGCACACTGCACACTGCAATGCAACTGTACCCATGTAGTTGCAGCTCCTCCCCGCTGGCCTGTCGACGGGGACGAGCGATTCGAAACTCGTCCGCGCCCTCAAGACAGGGTCCCCATGAATCCGGTTTTTGTGAATTTTGGAGAGTTTGTGGTTCGGAACTGTAATCAGGGCCATGGAAAGGCCCCAGAATGACGAAAACATGGGAGGCCTTTGATGTAGAATGAGGTGATTGATCTCGCCATGGTGACATAGCAAGACGCAAGCCGCAACAAACGGCAAGTTCGAGGATATTTTGCGGGCTAACATCGCTACGGCAACTCCTCTTATTCTTTCTTTCTTTCTTTGGAGCATTTGAAACCGCATAAGGATGGAAGGCAGAACTCTTTAACCTGGAAAATTAGCAACTTCTGCTTTTGTACGCGAAAGCGGGCAATATAATGCGCAAATAAACGATAAAACATTCTCTAAGCTTCAATTCGATAGTTGGATCTAAGCTTTCGCTGGTATAGGATATTTTTGCGCTGTAAAGGGAGGGTAGGAGAAAAATAGGGAGAGGCGGGCTCGGAGTCGCCTCTAACAAATAAGCTGCAACCGTCTCTCGCGGGAGATTTGAGTCCAACAGGCTGCCCCTGCGAGTAATTTAATGGTTAAACACAGTAATAAGAGAGCTCTCTTGATCTTGGAAGAGCCACTGGTAAGGCAGCGCTAGTGGGGATAAGGTTTAAAGGCGATCTAGGCTGCCGAAAACGAGACGGACAATGATGACGATCTGTACTTACAACGCAAGGACGCTCGCATCGGACGCATTCATTAAAGATCTTATGATGCAAGCCAAGAAGGTTAAGTACGACGCCATCGGGCTGAACGAGACAAGAAGACACCAACCGCTGAATGATTGGAGAAGAACTGTACTTAGGGACATGCGACAGCAGAGGAGTAGGCGGGGCGTGATTGTCAACACGATTTTGGTCATGAACATCGATTCTTTCGAACAACTAACAACCCGAATCGGACGCTTACGACTATCAAGATGTAAACCAATTCCGATTTGGCCGTCTTCGTGCGTATGCCCCGACATCAAGCTACGACGAAAACGGGCTCGAGGCTTTCTATATGGAGTTGAAGAGGTTTTACAGAGAAGACCACACTTTTACAAGATCATCGCCGGTGATTTCAACGCGAAGTTCGGAGCTAGAAGGTCGCCTGCAGAACTTCACATCGGGACTTAAGGACTACAGTGGAACAAACAAGGAGAAAGACTGTCTGAGTTCATCCTGACGACGAGGACCATCCATGGAAACTCGCAGTTCCGAAAACCCCCTTCCCGTCGCTGGACCTGGGAATCTTCCGGTGGAGAGTACCATAACGAAATCGATCACATCATCGTTAACAGAAGATATTGCCTGACGGACGTCGCTGTTGTTCCGAAGTTCTTCAAGGGATCAGACCATCGCCTCCTACGTGCCAAGTTTTACTTCCCGCGGGAGAGAGACAGAGCCGTAAAGTTCAGGAAACATCGTCCCGCGACTAGTATCAACTGGAACCTGTTTTCTTCGTTATCCGGCTTTCGGAGAAACGCCTTTATCGCAACCAAGGTGCGATAGGGGAGCCGGGCTCTCCCCAGGTGAAGGGGGTCTCGGCTGTTCCCGACCTTCCAGGGTGAAGGGGTATGTGAGTCTAGGGGGGGGGGGAGGAAGAGAGAAAAGGTAAAAAAGCGTGGTATGAAGAGCTCTAATTTGTACCTTATTTAGGCAAATTGAAAAAAAATTTAAAAATTTTCAAAAGAAATTAAAAAATTTTAAAAAAATTGATTATGAAGATCTGTGCTCCTGTTTCATTGCAACAAAAAACGAAAGCAATAATGTATATCCTAAAAGATGTACAAGTTAGGAACAACTTCATTTCCTGCACATCATCATCAATATATCATATCAATAATATCACTATCGCTAACGTCAGAGACAACAAGTTCGCTGCCTGAAAAATCTTCTTCTTCCTCCAAAAGGTCATCGGAGTAGAAGTAGAATTGCGTGCAAAAGCGTTCTGAGTCGAAAATGGATTTGAAACTTTTCTCTTCTTTTAAGCGCTTTTGTGATTTTTTTCCTGGCCCTCTGGTAGCATCAGGAAGTCAGCAGATAGGTGACCAGTTTCTTCATACCTTCTTTTAGGATATTTCAAAAAGTCATACGGTAACAGCCTGTCTGGACCACTTATAGCAATCCTTTAAATGAAGTTTTTAGATAACAATGTGTTTAGTAGAAGATTAACAAATCTTAAGTATTTGCTTAGATGCTCTATCGTTGTACGATTTCTGCGTTGTGTTCTGATAACAGAGTAGATAGAAAATTTCTTTCTCCACCTCTGCCGTGTTACTCGGAATGGAAACTAGCTTTGCTAGTAGGTCCATCAGATTTTTGCGGTAAGTAATGGGAAAAGAGCCAGATCTCATATGCTTTCGCAACACGGGAAGGAAATAGTGCATACTTTTTGGGCCTTGTCGAACTCTGGCTTCACCTCTTCTGGCATACGTCCTGTTAGCTGATTAGAAAGCTGCTCAACTTCTTCTTTAACATCATCTGCGGAATAGCCGAAAAAAGGAGGTACTATGCTGCGCGTTGGTTTTTTTCAATATCATAGGTCATATTGTCACAAGGCGAATAACTTTCAAAAGCATAAAGCACAGAGTTGGGTTCGCACTCCAGCCGGGATCTAAGCGCAGTAACTATGCTTTGTACTAACACCTTCCTTTTGTTCATATCCATGTTTGTAATAGCAGCCTTGAATTCTTCAGCAACCAAAGATCAGCAATGGACTTGCTGGACATTTCCTCATTGAAACTAGACAATCTGCTTGGATTCCTTATGCAGGAAATCAGAGAGTTTCGCTTAATTGCCAACTCTGTATCAATGTCGACAACATTTTCGTCGGCGTAAGATTCTCCTTCTGCCTCGCTGTTGAAATGGAACACATGCGAGTCATCTGCGATTTTGTAAAGTATTCTGCCTGCGTTTCCTCTTCAAACTGCCAATCTTTCCAAAACATTGAGGGATATTTTAATAACATGTTATTCTTCTGAATGTCTTAGAGTTTTTAATTCATTGAAACCAACCATACTCTACAAATTAGGTAAAGTGAGTCTAGAGCATTTTCACGAAAGTGACCTTCTTCAGCAATAGGTTTACAGAGTATAGATTCCAGAAGTGGGCGGGTTTTGTGTGAAGGTGTGGAAATTCACCAATCTCCCATAATTTTTTGAGTGTGTGCTAACAATGATGGCATAACTGTCAATCAAAAGCGCATTTTTTACCAAAAAAACATAAACATATAGCAACGATAAGCACGCTCAAATAGACGCGTTCGCTCACGTTCCCGTTAGTGCTGATAACGATGTCAATCCACAGCACATTTTTTACTATTGACTTGCTCCACCTCGCTCTTATTAGGTCGTTCAGAAAGTTTTTGCACATGAATTTCAAAATTCCTAACTTCTGATTTTTCCTACCGATTTGACTGCTTTCACTTTTATGTGAAAGGGTAAGTCATGCTCTTTATAATGACATCTCAGCTGCTTAGCAATGGTCATCTGTTGCACAGATAGGAGCGATAGAAGAAAAATGGTAAAAATTTTAATTTTCTGTGTAGGGTCATAAAAAATCGACTTGCAACAAAAATCGGAGCAGTCAGTACTGTAGATTCTTTCACCAGCTCCTTCTAACAGTGCAAAGTTTGCGCCGATTGAGCGTCTCCATGAAAAGTTATGATTTCCCTGAAGAATGCCAAAATAAATCAAATTCGCCTTTTTGTACTGCTTGCTCGGAAATTATAACTTTTCATGGAGACGCTCAATCGGAGCAAACTTCGCACTGTTAGAAGGAGTTGGTGAAAGAACCTAAAATACCGACTGCTCCGATTTTGTTGCAAGTTTCTGATTTTTTATGACTCTACACAAAAGTTCAAATTTTGAGTGATTTTGTTTTGAGCTTCTATCTATGCAACAGATGACCATTACTAAGCAGCTGGGATGTCATTATAAAGAGCATGACTTACCCTTTCACATAAAAGTGAAAGCAGTCAAATCAGTTGGAAAAATCGGAAGTTATGAATTTTTGAAAATTGTGCGCAAAAACTTTCGGGACGACCTATACAATGTGTTGGCTTTTATGGGTCACCGAAGCAAATGATTTTTAGAGCCGGAAAGCAAAGAAGCCCTAACATGCTGTATACCGTTCGAAAGCTGAGATCATGGAGAATCGAAGTAGACCGTCGACTTTTTCTAGGTCTTCTGTGCCGCGAGATATGAGGGATTTCATGTGCTTCAAAAATTAACTGATTTTGTGTCCTCACTTTCTGCCCTCCAAATGAATGCTACGAGAAAGTCGACGGCCTACTTTTGTTAATGAAGACTTGCTCTTTAACATAGATAGATAATCAGCAGTGATTAGGTCTTCATTTGGCAGAAATCTGCTGTTGAAAATGACCATGTTTTCAGATAAAATGCGGTGTATCTCTCGGTAGAGGGAGGCTAGAAAGAATCGACGGTCTAGGTCGAATCCCCTTTTCCTGAGCTTTCGAATGGTATATAGGTTGCTGGGCGAAAAAACTAACCAGTTTTCAAAAATGGGGTGGAGATATTTACTATTAGCTTGCTCCAACCCAGCTCCACCAATGTATTGGCTTTTATCGGTTACCGGAGCAAATGATTTTTAGAGCCGAGAAGCAAAGAAGCCCTAACATGCTGTATACCATTCGAAAGCTGAGATCATGAGAATCGACATAGACCGTCGACTTTTTTCTAGGTCTTCTGTGCCGCGAGATATGAGGGATTTCATGTGCTTCAAAAATTAACTGATTTTGTGTACTTACTTTCTTCTCTCCAAAATGCTACGAGGATAAATAATATAAATAAACATAAACACCGTTTCTTTAGTAAATTTATGAGTGTACTTGTTGTTTGAGGTACTTAGCCTGCTTTTCATAACGATTTTTATCATATTCTCAGAGTACATACCAATCTCAGCCCAGGTGAAGGGGGTCGTCGGGAGTTTGGCCTCAAAGTGAAGGGGGTAAGATCCATCACTCCCCCTATCGCAACTATGATCGCAACACCGACCAAGAATACCAACGGTTCGTCCAACATTTCTGCGATTGTGCTAAGAAAGCCGAGAGTCCAAGAAGTACAAGGAAACGTCTTTCATCAGAGACTCTAGAGCTGATGCGCCAACGTGGACGAGCACGAGCCACAGACAATTACCGACTGACGTCCGTGCTTGCGGAGCGTGAGAGAAGCGACAAGGAAAGATTGGAGAGAAGAGCAGCGGTATGGTTGACGCCTGAGGCTGGAGGGAATCACGCAACGCCCGCCGAAGTTTGTCAACTTCGGGACCAAGATGACCGCACTTCGTCGTCCTGACGGAACCATAACTGATTCCCGGAGATTAGTGGAGAAGGTCGCCCACGACTTCTACTCAGATCTCTTTGCGACCACGTTTCACCATGCCATCTCACTGAGGACGAGTATGTCGCACCGTTTGTTCTTTCTTCCTAGATTCGTCATGCTATCATGTCGATGAGGAATCGTATAGCACCCGGTTCCGACAGGATCAAGCCAGAACATCTGAAGAATCGCCGGTTCTCATCAAGACCTTGGAAAGGCTATTCAAGCGGTACCTGACGAGAGACAAGGTTCCAGAACAATGAAAGACCAGCAAGACCGTGTTGCTGTAAAAGAAGGGAGATGCAACATTGCCAATTATCGCACTATCTGCCGGTTGTCTGTAGTCTACAAACGTCTAAGGCGGGTTATTCTCAACAGGATCGGAAGAGAATTAGATGAAGGACAATCGTGCGAGCGAGCTGGGTTTCGAAGAGGATTCAGTACGATAGACCACATACACACGTTGTCAAGGCTCATTGAAGTATCACGGGAGTACAATATGCCACTCTTACACCTTCGTCGACTTGAAGAAGGCCTTTGACTCGGTTGAGACTGAAGCCGTTCGATGCCTTGAGTAATCAAAGTATTCCAACTCAGTACATCAGGATAATTCTTAAGCTCTATAGCGACTTCACACCCAGCATCACACCATTCTGCAAGACATCGCCATTGACATGAAGAGAGGTGTACGACAGCGCGATACTATATCGCTGAAGCTATTCAGCGCCGCCCTCGAGAACGCCATGCGGACGTTAGAATGGGACGAAATGGGAGTGAAAGTCGACGGCCGGCAACTACATCGCCTTCACTTTGCTGATGATATTATCATTAACACCAAGCATCACGCAGGCGGAACAAATGCTGGCCCAGTTTGACGAAGTGTGTGGGAAGATCGGTCTGCAGCTGAACCTAACGAAGACGATGTTCATGAAGAACGGAAGAGTACCTAATGCTCCCTTCATGTTCAACCGAATGAACGTCACCGAATGCTCAAGCTACGCCTACCTAGGTTTTGATTATGATGGTACCACGGTTTTGCCTGATTGACGTACGCCTCGGAAACATGGACCATGAGGAAGCAGGACGAACATGCGTTCAGCGTTATTGAATGTGCTGCTGAGAGAGTGATGTTAGGAGTGAACGACTCACGCAAATGAGGGAGGAATACGAAGTTCTACCCTATGCCAAACTATCGAAAATCAGGGATGCTGCCACATACGCTAAGCAGAGCAAGATGAGATAGGCCGGACAGTGATGCGTTTTGACGACAATCGGTGGACGTGAGCTGCAACAGACTAGATACCACTGGACGTTAAACGCGAACGAGGAAGACCGCCGGAACGATGGTCGAATATGTTCACGAAGTCCTATAATGAAGTCCTTAAGAGCGTTACACGTCCTGGTGCGATACGTAGACACTGGTCAACAATCGCCCGCTACAGGGACGAATGGAGGAGGGGCATCACTGGTACAACACGCTCGTGCAACACGATGAACAATGGGGATACAGGTGATACATGTGATACCTCCCCAAATGTTCTCATGAGTAGGCGGTTTAACATCATCAAAAAATTATTCAAAGCCTTTTGAAAAGGAGCCCCTGGTATCTTGAAGTACTTTTTTCTGAAGAAACCTCGTTACTTTATATAGAAGCTTTGGCAGGACTGCTTACTTTGCGCAATTTTGCCACAACTGCGTTGCATTAAATCTGTAATCGGCTTTAAATAATTTTTTATATTCCAAACCATCTAGGAGCTTCACAACACGTTTTCTCTCTTCAAATCCTCCAACCAAATAAAATGAGGTAAGGTAATGAGCCACATTCTCCGTTTATTTTTCAATAATTTTCAACGTGTCATCAACGCTACAGTCATGTACTTATGGACTCACCGAAGTAATTGGTACGAGCAACATTGTTTCTTCTGTAGATGGATACTGATGAAAATTTTGGTTGGTGAAGCAGTGAAGGTAGCCAGCCTGCGAAGGAAACTTTGTAAAATGCTAATTTGTTACTTCACTGGAAGTTCATGAAAATAACGATCCATGAGAATTACCTGTAGTCTAGTCCGCACATTCCTCAGATGAAGTCCTCCCAGTAAAGGTTTTATGGTTATCATGCCTTCTGCCAGGGGCTTGAGCACGGAATGAGGTTGTACGGCTAAGCGACATAGTACATGCCCATACAATGGGGGACCAGACAAGCCGGCTAGAAATGAAAGTTTCAAAAATGTAATTTCAAAATGGAAGGTGAACCAACCAAATGCTGACATTCGAAGATCATGTATTCTGCAATCGTCTCCGGCATCTGTGAGTACTAAATAAGCTCTAGCTAGCAGATTGTAGTTTGTTGAACCTATGCAGTTTCCTCGTAAACTGTAAGGCTCTGTAGTGTTCAAATTACTTTTCTGGAAATAAAACCTTCGTGCGTTGTTCCTTTATTTCAAGTGCAAAACACACCACATAACTGCCGAATTTCTTGCCTAAGGATCGTGCTATCCTCGTTCGTAGACCTCCATTACCATCTGTCAAAAAGGGGTCAGTTCTAGCAGCATACAGCGTCATCTCTATACAGAAATCGTCTGGCTCTCCTTCGCTAGAAAGTATGCAGAGTAGTAAGCATTCGCCAGAACTGTTTATATCTTACAATATGAAAGAGTCCGGAAATACGACATCCGTCATTGTTCTATCTACATTAGTTACCGTACTCGAATCAATGACACGAGTTTTTGTTTGCAGTACGACAAACATCGAGTACACTCGAGTCTCTGAAAGAAGAGCTTTAATTTGTAAGAGTGTTTGTCACTAGTTATGGATGTTTTGCTTTGCGAGCTTGATCTTCCAAACAAAAGAATTCCAGCAGTCAAACGTCTTACTCGAACTGCTCGACTCAAAATGTTCTAATGAAAATTCTCAGAAAATTTCAGCTTTGCCACAGACCGTACATCATTAATTTTTTGTAAGTCCAGCCTTTACTCCATGATAGTATCGCTCCATTTCACGCGCTTCAGTAACTGAGAAAAAATTAGGTGGGCCCAAAAGTTCGTGCCGTTTTTTAGACCTATTCTAAAATCGTTCAAAATGAAGATAGACAAATTGTCTTAATGTCCCATACAAAATTACTTCCTCTTTTCATTAGCTATGTTTACGTTGTGACCGCTTCGATGAGCGCTGAGATAATTGCCGGAAACTAGAACCCTTCATTTTTACCATGTCTATCTTTCGCTAGTTTTCAGAAATTTCATTTTAGACTTTTGAAGGTGCTCTAATAACCACCTGATAATGCAAACCTTTTTCAAATTAATGCAATTTTTTGCTTGCCTTCCTCTTTAGAATTTTGATTTTGCTGAATTATTTTACCAGAGCATTGAATTTTGAAGAAGTCGCGTGACAAATAATTGCATCAAACACTACGAAAAATCCTTGAAATATTGAAGTTCTAAAACTCGATTATTACTATCACTATTATTACGAAGTAAATGAGCGCTTACTGCTTGAAAGTGGATAGATTTTGGAATTTCCACTACAACCTTGCGCACCCGTAAAATCAGGAAATACAGCGATTTTTTCTGCAGAATCGCATGTTTCGCGAAGAAAAGGCAGCTGTCAGAAAGAGGAGAAAAAGATGCATCGAATGATACCTAAACTATTCAACGTCTGATATCTTGCAAGGTTAAAATCAGCCAAAATAAAGCTTGGTCGCTTCAGAAAATATATTTCAATAATTCTAGAAAGCATGCTGGAGAGATGCAGAAAACTACATTAAATTGAAAAAGGTTTGCCTTACTAGTTGGTTATTAGAACACCTTCAAAAATCAAAAATAAAATTTCTGAAAATTAGCGAAAGTTAGACATGGTAAAAATGAAAGGTTCTACTTCTCGGCAATTATCTCAGCGCTCGTCGAAGCAGTTACAACGGAAACAGCTGCTGGAAAGAAGAAGAAATTCTGCATTGGATACTATAAACGGATTTGTCTATCTTCATTTTGACCGAGAAGTAGAAGCAGAAGCATATAAAAAATGAGATAAAGAAATTGCCACGTCCATACCTAGTTCTTCGAAGCAGCATCATCGATGTTTTGCTGCTTTTAGGATTAATTTGATTACTAACGATAAGTAAACGGAGAAAGCTGTAAGCATGCTCACTGCCCACTGAATTTTTTAGTAACTGTTTGTGCAAAAAAATCAAACCAGTATTTCCTTCTCAAATAACTCCTGTTTTTTCCTCAAAGAGATGAATTTTGGCAATTTCCGCTAGCAGCAACTGAATAACACGCCTGAACCATTAATTGCTTTAGTAAATTAGAGCTATAGCATTTTTTACATGAGCTTGATTGCTTCCTCAAAATTAGGTGCTTGCGAAAAAGTTGAGAAGCTTCGCAAAAGAGTCTTTGAAGAACTTGGCTAACGTTGCGCCGTTTTTCGTGAAATATTTCTCAGATTGCTGCTGCTAGTTTCAAAATGCAAATTTCAGCATAGTCAAGTTCAGCTGCACTGAAGGGTCATTACAGCAAACATAGTGAAAACGTCATGGAGACAGAGGATGTTCTAGGAGTGCAAAAGGGTACGGTATTGCCCATCTCAACCGTTGCAACGGGTTCCTAGCATTCGGAACTCGTCCACCACACACTGAACACATTTTACAGCTCAAAAACTGACTTACATTTCTGCTCAATTGTGTGCTCATTTTCGAATTTAGTACCACCTCCGTTATACACGTAAGAGAGTCGAGATTATGCATGCATGTCTTCAAATGCATAAAAATTCATATTCCATTCAAAAAGACACACACAAGATCTCATTCGTTGAGATAGTTACTTATGGCCTCGGACAGAGTTCACGCGATTTGATCGTTGCGATTCAATCGCTACAGACAAGTGCTACGAGTTCATTGCATGCCGATCTTCTTGTATTTCGGTTGTGATAGTTAGTCACGATTAGTCGTGTTGGAAAACTGTCACAACCGAAATGCAAGAAGATCTGCATGCATGAACTTGTAACACTTGTCTGTAGCGATTGAACGACGATCAAATCGCGTGAACTCTGTCCGAAGCGTATGACTGCTTAATTCTCATCAAGGTGAGTACCCTAATTTCACGAGTGCGATACGCACCTTTTTTTTTTTTTATAAATTCGACCATTCTGGAACTAAAACATTTCGCGAACAAAGGACCCTATACAGTGCTACGTATCGCCTGAGGTACCGTGCTGCATAAGTTTCCTTTTCCAAAACACAATGAGACGGCTGAGCTGCTCATGCAAAAAATCAAAAAAGGTGCGTCTTGTACCCGTGAAATCAGCGTAATTGTCCCCTTTTTGCATGTTAACGATTTGAATCCTTTTGGGAAAATTCTTGTCATTTTCACAACGATGATGATCACATATAATGGTGACTGGTTTTCTACCAACTATTCCATTATACCAAAGAGATATTGCGTGTCAACATTGAGTAAGCAAAACAACACAGTAAAATAATAATGTTTTGCAGATGGTATGCGATATGCAGCAGTAAGAGTAATACATTTCAAAGTAATTTCTTTCAAAGAAAAAGAAAAGAATGGTACCTCCTTTGCTTTTGAAATGTTGATCGCTGTTCCATGCCAATGGTATGCTTATCTGGGAGACTCCTACATTTGCACGACTTGGGTAGGGCTCACTGCAAAAGACCTAATTTAAAGTTCACATAAACCTCGTGTCAGAAGCGTTGTTTTTTTACGCGAAAAGTAGTAAACTCACCAGATGTTGACACAATGTATGGTCTGCAGTGTTGCAGGAGGAGGCGGAAGCAGAACAAAATCGCTCGAAGCGTTTTCGAAATCAATGATAAAGTGCACGATAAGTGCGAATAATAGCGCTTTTCAAATACCAATAACAATCAAATAAACCGCGTTAACAACAAATATCTCTACTCGATTAAGCTGACAAAATTCCAAATTGTATCGATTTGCAGGCGGCTGCGCTGATTTTGATTTGGAAAAAGTTGATAGTGAATAGATTAGCGAGGTGCCCGGATTTTGGTTTATAAAAAGTAGTTGTTATTTCAATGATGCTAAAGCTCCTCCCTCTTTTGGGCGCGTAAGCGCAGGTCAGCCTGCCCTTCTCCTACTACTCCATATGAAAACTTTGCATACGATTTCTGTCCTAAATATTGTACTCTGATGCTCGTCTGCATATTTTTCCTCTATTACGCACTTCGAGAAAAAATCGTTTATATTTACAACTTTAAAAAATCGGAGCTCTCAAGAGTTGACATAGAAAAACCTCGTATTTCTTATTTTCTTCAGAAAAGGTCATTTTGAGATTTTTAAACGATTTGATTATTTGAAGAACGTATACTTCTATAATCACATTACAAATAGAACCTACATTGTCTTCGTTCCATTTTGTTGATATTGGTTAGCGATGAGAGGCATATGGTTGAGCAATTTACTATGAAATACTCTCGAACAGTAGTCAAGTTTGTTTTGAGTGGCTTGCACAAGCTCTGAAATGGAAAAGGTTTTTCCATTTGCTCAAGCGCGTTTGGGTTCAAGAAGAAACCGCTCAAATATGTAGGTTGATTTGCTCACCTAGGGCAATTCTTTAAAGAAGAACTACGAAGGCATAAAGTATAATTTTGAGCAGGAGAAACTCATAAAAACATACGAACTTATCATGAATCTTTAAATTATTTGCAGAAAAAAGTATAGTTGTAGATGTGAAGAAAAAGTGAATCATATGCAGAGTGCAACGAATCAAATCAGTGAGGTTGTAAAAACAGTCACTTGTACATGCGCGATGAAGTCAACTATAAGCCGTACGTATACGAGCGACTCACCCACGTACTTTGAATAATCCAACTGGTATTGTTCCGTTGGTTGGCAATGCGGGTGGAATGTAGTAATTCAGTAAAACTCTACCGATGTTTCACAAAGCAGAAGAGAGAGCAATTTCTGAGGTTCAAGTTTTGTACTGGTTCCCTGCATCATTTGTTTCCATTGATGGCGAGCAAACAGAAACGCGAATCAATCTGCACTGTTTTCGATTTTATTTCCCAGAGCAAGTCAGCTACTCAAGAAATATCCATAGTGTCATTCAAAAACTCCTTGTGCAGTCACTACCACTCAGACCATTTTTTCAACGAGATCACCAAAAACTGCATATTTGAACTATTTGTTCGGCTATCCATAAAAAATCACATATATTATAGTTACATATATCCCAGAAAAGATTTTGGGATACTTTCCAAAATTTTAGCAGGCCCCTAACTCCGAAACTTCAACGAAGGGGCGTGGCAGCGCCACTCCCAAAAATTTTCGTAACTAATTTTTTTAAGAAAGTTAAAAAGATTATTTCAACATTGCAGAAGCACGAACAAGTCAGTTGCAGACTTTTTAACTCGTAAGAGTAACTTTCAAAAGTTTCCGGCCCACTTCGTCTCCTCCCCCTCCCCCCTCAGTCCGCCACTGGTATACATATTGACAGCCTTTGAAAACCCTTTGAAAGTGAACCCAAGTTCAATTGGAACAAAATTTCAAGCTAGTTTCACATCTTGCAGAGTGCCATGCTGTTTAAACTTAGCTTTTGGTTCAATACTCTGCCTTCACGATGGACAAAATAATAATTATAACATTTCAAGAATTTTGTGCCCGCCCACAAATTTGAACAAAGCGAAAGTCTGAAAAGGGTTGTTGCTTTGCAGCAAGCTATCAACTAACCATTATTCAATAAAAAATTGTAGTTCAAAAACTAAGTCACACGAGGATATTTGACCGCTCAACTGAGACTGATAGCATGGAATCCTCTCTCAACAAGTAATGCTTCTGATCAAGACACTTTATAATTGAGGATGGTTTAAGGGAAAGAACAGAAGTTAAGATAGAATGTGGCATGCTTTAGAGAAGCAATAGAGAGGTTCCACAGGTTCACAATTATCTAACTATATCCATTCCAAACAATATTAAATTGAGCACTGGTTTTTCCTGGTCCTGAGCAATCAGCTCTAAGATAGGAATTTAGATGTCTCCGCTGAAATTGGTGACATCTCATCACATTATGACAGAGGAAGCAATAAGAGCAAGTGCCATGACATTTTAATTCGTGTCTTCAGATATAAACATTGAATTTACGGCAGTCTCTCCTCTGGTAGAAAAGTGTACATCTTTAGATTTTAGATTAGATTCTAGACCTCTAGATTCGGAGCCGGAAGCAATAAGTCAAACTATGAGATATCCAAGGAAGTGGTAACGCTATTAAAAACGAACAAAATTATCTTATTTTATTATTCTGCAACATGCACAAGGTGCGACAAAATCAAAAGTAACGTGAACAAAAAAAAAGACTGAACGAAATGATATTAGCCAATCCCATGACTTACGGGATAAATGTGAGGTAATGGAAGGAAGAAAACGGAACACGAAGTTTTGGATACACATGAATGGGATTTTCACGCGCAAAAAATTATAGTTGCTGTATCAAAATTCCAAAATACATAGCTTCGGCTGGAACCCTCATTATAAGAAAAGATGGAGGGCAGTAGGTAATGAGAAAAGAAAGAGGGAGCTTGTAACGAAGATTTTGAGACGGAAAGGCATCGGGCTGTAGTTATCTGCAGCTGTTGAACTCTCAACAGTAGATTCTTCACGCCTAACCCTCCAAAATCTCAACAGTAAATTCTTCACTCCTAACACTCCAGACTCTCAACGGTAATTTCTTCACGTCCAACACTCCACCCTGGTGCTTTAGAAAGACTGAGAATGAAGGTACTTAGCGGAAAAAATTGTTCAAACTTTCATGTCTCTCAAGCCCTAGAAGAGAAAGTAACATGGTCTGAATTGATAGAAATAAAGGAATATCGAAGGAGCGAAATCTAAACCACAGCTCTTCACGAGATGGCTTTTGGAAAATGCAAAAAACGAAGTCCCCTTGCCTTTCGCAATCTTTAGCGGAGTTCCCTTTGACCTTAAACTCTAAAGGTAAGAGAACGCAACAAACGCCAAATTTTTTGTCTTCTCGGCCTCAAAAGCGACACCATCTTTTTTTGTCCCAGACACGATATCCAGCTCGCTTACAAGCCACCTGTGTCGAGTCCTAATCTTAAGGAAGGCTGAGAGAGGCACGTCAGCGCAGGCCTAGCATAGATATACTCTTGAAAGAACCCATCTATATCATCTTTCTGACATCGAAAGGTGATAACAGAGCCGCTGGCAAGTGCCTACAGCTCAAGATTAGTGGCGAATCTAAGTGACCAAACTCACATATTCTCTGTGTGCAAACACATTTCCCCCACTTCGCAATTTTTATGTGCGTCAATCGTCATTCACGAAACAAACTCATCGCAGTCTCGCGATCTCACACGAAGAATTCAAAAAACCATACATGTGTAGTATAATCGAGGAAATCATTGCTGTTCTGAAAGAATCTTCACCTCTCTTGGCACATTAGCAAGTTAAGAGCTGTTACACTGTTGAATCAACAGTGAGGTCATACCAGCCGAGTTTTTTTCCAGTGACAATTTGTTTCCGTGAGCTTTCCAGCTCTTGGATCAAGATCATCTACTGATAAATTTTGAAATGTCGCCATTTTCTTTCCATCGAACTGTCTGGGATATATCTTCGCATTGTGAATCTTATAATATTGCGCAGAGTATACACAAGAAGAAGTGGATGCGGTATTAATTTGATAGGCAGAAGAAGGCTCCATAAATGAAGATTTGAATTTCGCGACAATTCTGATTTGAGCTAAGTCGAGGCCGTTAAAAGACGCTAGATTTCTGAAAGATCGAAAAAAATCGGGTCTCCCTTTGAGAAAATTTCTGGGAATTCCCAACTTGCTCACACTTGTACATTGTACTTCAGACACTCATAGGCATAGTTTCGTACTTTTTCCAGAGCTGAGATCTAGAGAACGAAATTGTATGTTTTCGCTAAGTTAATCTTGAGCTTCTCCCAGATGGGTGATTCTTTGGCAAAAGCTTTTGGAAGTGTGACTATGAATTTCTAGCTTTCTACAAAGGCTTGTATTCGAGAATCAAAAATATCGCAAAAAACCGAAGAAGCGATATATTTGCACTTTTCTAGGTTTGTTTCTTGTATTCTAATCATGGAAAACTTCCACAAACTGTAAACTTGAATGCTTAATGTGGGGAGTATATGCCTGTGCAAATTGGAAGTCTGTAAGAATTCTATGGGTAGATCTCAAATTCTTTTATATTTCTGCTTTAAAATTCGCGTGGATCAAAGTTTGCAAATGTTTGGATGCCATTTTGCAAAGCTTGCTTTGCTGTATCAAATGATATCCCAAGCATTGTTTTTCGAGTTTGTCCTGCAGTAGTAGGATGCAATGCGATTATATTTTCTGGACCATAATATATTCCAAGTCTGGTATGTGCTTCTAAATCGTCCGAATGCGCAGATTCGGCTCCGAAAATTTCGAGTAGGGGAGCGAAAACCGCCAGTTTGGGCCGCCTCCGCGGACTGCTGGTCCTGAGACGACATGCAACAACGCTGCGAAGGGACCAGTTGGCCGCGAAATGCGGCTCAAACTGGCAGCTTCCGTTCCCCTACCCAAAATTTTCCAGTAACGCGAGTTTCCACACATCCGAAAGCTCACTCTTTCAGATGTTTCCTCCCATAAACGGCGTAGAATTTTATCATATGCTTCAAAACTTAAACCCATTCACCAGAAGTAGATGAGCGTTACAATACCTTCAAACCCGCCTTGCAGGCTTAATTCTATAAAAGAAATGGCGCTATTCCAGTATACCGACCCCAAAAATTAAAGATCTCGGATTTCGCTCAAACTCGCTATAGGGGGTTATTCGACCCGCTGATGCCAAATATCATATCGATTCCGTGCGATAGCGCCATCTTCTGGGGGTTACGGTGGGTATACGGTAGGGGGTCAAAATTCTCTGAAACTCGGTAAAAGGGGGTTATCCGACATGCTGAACACGAATACGATATTCATTCGTTACGGTAGCTCCTCATTTGACATTACGTTATTTGACATGCTGATTACGATTATGGTGTTTATTAGTTAAGATAGTGCCTCATTCCGACGTTACGTTGGGTATACATTACCAATACCACCGCTAGATCGAGATTCGGGGCTCGAAATCTGTCACATGTCGGAAATTTCCTCCCCCTGCTTTGCTTAGGCAAAAGCCGCCGCAGGGTGTATCGCGCGCGGCGGTGGGTGTGGAAAGCAGTGAATTAGACTCTCCTACAGTATACCCACCGTAACCCCGGGATGAGGTGCTACCGTAACGAATGGATATCATATTCGTGTTCAGCATGTCAAATAAACCCCCTGCACCAAGTTTCAGAGAATTTGTGATTTTGACCTCCTACCGTATACCCACCGTAACCCCCGGAAAATGGCGCTATCGCACGGAATCGATATGATATTTGGCATCAGCGGGTCGAATAACCCCCCTATAGCGAGTTTGAGCGCAATCCGAGATTTTTAATTTTTGGGGTCGGTATACTGGAATAGTACCTATCCTGTTACCCCGCAGATACAAGACGAAGATGGGCTTCACTTAGTCTATCTTTTGATTTTGTGATGTTTCGCCACCAAAAGCCAGACTTGTACACCTTAACCGTACAAAGTAGCTCTCACTTCAGGTAGAACCCAAATTTATGCCAATCACATGCAAATTAGTACTCATCATAAAGTTATTTTCATTTATTTATCTCTTCCGCAGCTTCGGCTTCAGCCATCACCTCTCGAATATGATTGAAGTCGATCTCCACCTGAAAACTGCATTTCTGATTGGGACCATAACGTGACACGTACATGCACAAAGAAGACTTTTGACGTACTTACTTTACAAGAAAACTGAGCAGAACCAAATTTAGGAAACAGGTTGCTTACCTTCCCTCTTTGACGGATGAACTTTTCATCAGTCTCTTCTCTCCCTAGCTTTTCCAAATACCGTTGGCGATAACCCATGACCACTTCCAGATAAGCGTTGTGTTTCACTGCGATATCAAGAGCACTGTAATGAAGCTTCTTTGATTCACGGAATCCTTTAATTTCGTGGTGAAGACATACCGTGACCATCGCATCATGATTATGTTTAGCATCACAGCGCGATAGATATTTCCTCCTTTTTCCAACAGATTATCTGCCTCTGGGACCTGCAAAATCAAATTATAGAAGAGCCATATCCATGCCGTACGTGTTTTACCTTTCCAGCCAGGAGAACCATCATTGCACTACGTACTTCTTTATTCGGATGTGTTCTAGCTTCTGCTAACATCTGAACTTTTTCTGCCTGAAAATTGCGATCACTGAAACTGGAATAGACACTCACTGACCAAGATCTATTTTATTCTTGAAAAAAAAAGCAATCGCAGGCTACAAACCTCCTCTAAAGCCCCATATGCGATCTCAGCCGCATAGGTGTTTTGCGCTGCAGTAGCCAGACCGGCAAGCATGGCCCATGTGACCTCACTCTGGAAGAAAATTATTTGTGGGTTCCATAAACCATTGTAGAATGTGTTACTTTGATATGGCGACAAAGACGAATAGCTTGGTCCCATTTCGAGTTCGCTGTGTGCTTTAGGAGAGCCTCAGCAAATGGAGGTATCGTAGTGGTAACTATAGAGCCGTCAGATCGACGCAGACTTACCACGTTGTCAATAAAACTAAATACAGTTTTTTCTCAACGATGTAACTGTCATACATTTTCTGTACCTGCGCAGAATAGGAAATTTTCCGAGAGCAGGCACTGGTTTTTCTATGATTGATTGTTGTAAAAGCGTTCTGTCGATAAATGCAATCTCTGTAGCAGGCCATACAACTGAACTGAGAGGCTTGAGTTTTGAACTCTCCACTGTGTGCGTAACAATTTCTTTAATGTTTACTTACGAACTCGTCCTTCACCTACTGCTGCCAACATATTCGTTGTGTTGTTGAAATGGAGATGCTCCACAGAAGAACCTGTGACATAATGTTTGTTTTATTGAAAAAATGCTGAGAACATGAGCGTATTACCAATTCGTGCTATCCTCTGAGCGATACCGTATGTTTTCACTCTGGCAGCCAGAACGGCCGCATCACTGTCTCGAAAAGCCAAAATCCTTTCATTGAGCTTTCCACATTGTGACAATGTCATCTCCACAACTTCACGCTTCAAATCACTAGTTTTGAGGAAAACATTAGTATTATGCAATAGCGAACTCGTTATTTTATGTCCATTTTTGGTTAAACAACTTGGTAATAGTAATTATTGAAGGCAAGTTTGTTCGCAGTATTCACTACTTCACGCATGAAATGTGCAGGAGAAATCCTCCGCACTCAAGAAATACGGTTTTCCTTGACTTTTGTCAACTTCTGAACGGATCCAGAAGAGCACTTCAAAGTTTCGATTTCCAAACTCTTAACTACCGCGAGCACAGGGACTTTTGTGTTAGAAAATTTCTGCATAGCTAATCTGACTTTCGACGTCAAAAATTACTTTTCTTATTCACCATTGAAAACAAATGCTAAATTTTATAATTAGAATAAATTTCATATCCATGATCGCAACCCATTTATGCGCGCTTCTCTCACAAGTTAGCTTTGAAATATGTGTTCTATGATCTCATTCACATTAGTCCTAAATTGGAAAGTTACAGCATCTCTGGTAGCAGTTTAGCGCAGTTTTTCCCCAAGTTTGATCAATAACCGACCTCGTGTACAATTTTCTCATCGCCAAGTGCTCTGCCAGATGTCGGATCGAAGAAGCAGATAGTTGATGTTTCACCTCGATCTCTGATGGCGAGTACGTCATTTGATAAAGCTATAGTCTTTTCACCTAAAAGTGCACAAAAAATTCTGATGGTGTCCTATGATTTGAAGCACATGCAACTGATAAGTCAGATAGTCTTGTGCTTTCATGCTCACTTATGTTACTGGTTCCAATTCCAGGCACCTTGACCTCACAAAGACTTCTACCATCATAATTGAATACCAATACAATTTGGCCATCAGAAACGAGGAATAGCCTGCAATTACACTTGATTAATGATTTTTTCTGAATCAAACGGAATCACTACCTGCTAGCTTGAAGGACTAGGGCTATAGTCTTATCCTTCACATCAACAATGACCGGCGTGTTCCAGTTCCTCGAGCTATAATGCATTTTGGCAACGATTTTTCTGGATTGAAGAAGCTACAAGTACCTGTAGATGTACAACTGCGATGTGGTCACAACAATCAGTTGATTGTGAGCTAAGGACGTATGTGTTATCCTATCCCTTGTCTCTAATGTCTCTTGAGCAAGATCTACGTTCAGATCTCTCACTTCCAGCATGTTTCTCTTTGTTTGCACAACTTCCAGGCCACCGCTTTCGACGGTTCTGAAAATTTGCGAATTGCGAAATGTATTTTCTACGCTGAATGCACATCGATAGATCTTACCTGCCAACTATTTGAGCATGGATAACCTGGCCACTACCACTGCCAGCTACCAGCTGTGTGGCATCGTCAAACCAGCATAAGGAGAGCAATGATCCGCCACTGCCCAATTTTTCCAATGAATGAGGCCACTAAAAGCCTACTTTATTGACTCGTCAAAGAATCTAAGTCTCTTATGGTTAATTGTGGATTGCATTCCGGAAAGCTCGCGATTTGCTGTATGCGAGACATGTTAAAAATTGAAGGAGGCATGAAACTGAAGCTTTGGTTGAATGCATTTTTCCATTAAACTAATGAATGTTACTCCTTCTTTGAGGTCAAAACGTTGTCTAACAGTTTATGCAGAAAACTTGCCCCAGCTTTGTCGCACAGCCGCAGAATATTTTGCGATCCAACAGCGAAACACTGGCCATTGGGACTCCAGGCCACCGAGGATATTGGAAAATCACAAACAACAGAGGAGAAAAGATTCCGTCCAAATCTGTCCCACAACTAAAATGAAGTTGGATGAGTACCCAATCAAACTCCATAAAGCTAACCTTGAACTTGCAGTCCTCCCCGCCAGTGACGATGTGCTCAGAAACAAGGCTCCAATCACAGCAAAGTACTATGGCATCGTGGGCTTTCCATTTCAGTGGAAGGGACTGTAAATATACACTTTACAGCGAAATGTTGTTGGATATAAGAGTTACCTGTGTTTTGAGGGATTTGATGTAGCAATACTCATTGTTCGTGAATAAAATGTTATCCGAAGCTGCATCAAAAGAAACACTATAATGGGTACTTCTTTTACTCGGGTGTAAGCTGGACATGAACGGAAAAGAGCATATTTTAGTTAACTCAAACTTTGTTTGCAAGTGCCGGACATCAGCTAAGAGATTTGCAGAGAAATTCCGAAAATTCCAAGTGAATTTTGACATAAAGATTAACATCTAGAGAAGAGGATGACTGATTGTTTCTATGAACATGGTTATGATCATAAAAACCAACCAATATACGGGACTAAGCATCTGAGCAATGACAGATCGGAGCATTCCATTCCTTGACCACAACTTTACTGCTCCATCTTCGCCACCTTAAGAAATCTACAAAGTACCTTGAGAAAAAATTTTTGTTGTATTAAAAGGAGTCGACTAAGAATCATGATGAGAGTTATTGTACTACAAAACGTAAAGTTAGTGAAATTTTTTTGCAAGTCCGCTCAGAAAATAGCCCGAAGCTGTATTGCTTTGCAAATTCTGATTAAAACTTACAGCTGAGCAGTCCAGTTCCATCTGGACTCCATCTCGCTTGCAGTGCAGCTCCTTTGTGTGCGTCAAACGACTTCTCGAGTTTACCCATCTTATTGACAAAATATATCCTTCCTGAAAAACATTGCTGCATAGTTTTTTCGTAGAATTATACCAATAGAATTTCATAGAAACATCTCGGAGGAAGAACAGGAGGATTGCAACTAAATTTTGTGAAGTTGACTGACTAAAAAGTCTTGAGAAAGAATCTAGGGAGTCGGCATGTTGTTCAAATATAAGGCTTTTCTGAATGGTCTGGAAAGATCCAAACTTCCCCTCTTACACCTCTACGGTAGAAACTTTTCCCAAGTCATTTCTTTTATTCTTTATCTTGGACGAAGGCACATTTGTGATGTTCGCGAGCTAAAATCAATTCTATTGTTCTACAATTGCTTCCTGATTTTCCTTCCTGCCAGAAAGGTGTGGTGAGTGGTTTTTACGTGTAGTAGCCAAATGATATTGAAAATTGACAGTTTCCATTCAAATGAAAAGTGAGCGCTATGATATGCACTTCTCCAAAAGTACAAACCAACTAAGTCTACTCGGCTGATTGGAATACCAAAAGAATAAAAGAAGAAAAATGGCAAAAACTGTGCATATACTTTCCTAAGATCCACTGATGAGTATAAAAGTCCTAGGTTTAATAAAAAAAACCTGGGCTGCTGCGTAATTCCTTCATTGCTCTACTTCAACTAAAGTGAATCTTTTCAAAATTCAGAATCACTCTCGAAAATTTTTAGTTGAGTTGTAAAATGGACGATCTTATGCCTCGAATTACTTCCTTCCATAAGATCTTTAAGCTTTTCATTGAATAGAAATTTGAAATCTAATAGCATCACCATGCCATTTGATATAACCACAAAATAACTTTTTTCGAGCTACTAGACGAATTTGTTACAGAAAAAGTGTCTTGCAGATTTTGAGAATCATGTTTACAACAACGGTTGAACAATCTGAAATGTGTTTCAAAAACGAAGCAGTTTTGTTGTTATTCAAACTTAAGATTATATACAACTTGCCATCGGTGCCGGAGAGGACGAATAAATCGTTCGCGACGTCCCGCTTCCCAGTGCGAGGAAACCATTGCATCGATGTTGCAAAGAGATTGCTGAAATCATTTTCTGTTAGAAGTAAGCATTTTGTCACTTTTTGCAGAAAATCGCTTTTTTCGGTCACAATTCGCAGAGGTCTATTCTCAGAAAATTGAATCTCAAAATCAAATCATCATATCTTTTCTTTATTGCTTTCGAATTAAGGATATAATCAAGATTTTCAAGACACTTTTTAATAGAAGCGGGAAAAAAATACCACTACCCAAAATTATACATGGAAATCACTTACTTTGGCAACTCCGTCACTGTAGTGGCCTCCATATTGGTAAGGTTCCATCTAAAATCTATGTTCAATCTCATTTTCACTGATTGACTTGTAATGCCTTTTTTGGAAGTTTCCCAAAATGAAAAAGTTTCGGAAACAAGAATTTCAATGAAACCTCAGTAAGCAGTGATCATCCGCATAAGAGTAGATCTCTTCTCCTCCAGCCCACCCTACTGCGGAGACTGTGTCTGAGTGACGAGGAGTCCGAGGTAGTGAGACCTTGAGACGCATATCTGAATACATGATGTCTCGAAAAATGTGAACACTGTGATCGCTAGTAACTCTTTCATGTCTTTCGCCGACCTTGAGATATCATTCTGTAGAGCGAGTTCAACTTAGATTTGCAGTATGGAGCGAATCATCGATCGCTCTTCGTTATTGTGAGACTACGGTAGGAACTTCGACAAAGATTTTAGGCCATTAAGGACCATATTCTGCCTCTGAGTAAAACCAAACAAGTAAAAAACTCTTATACTGTAGTAATGAAAGCAGCTGGACTTTACTGTGATGCTTCTTTCTGAAGTTATCCCAGGTAAACCTTAATAAGTAAATTCCCAGCATTTGTCAAAAATGTGATTACACCGTCAAAAAAGGTGAAAACACACGTAGAAGTTGTGTAGTGGGCTCAGAGTGTTCGAAAATCCCACTACATATTTTTTCAAGTTTTTTGAAAAAATGTTGTCAGATGGCATATTTCACAATGGTTCTACATGCTGGAAGTTCATTCCTTAATCCTAAAGTAACGAAGTGCCGATCGGTGATTCGCTCCATACTGTAGATCTAAGTCGAACCTCGCTCTACAGAATGGTGCCTCAAGCTCGCCGAAAGACATGAAAGCGAGGAAGTTATTAATTACGAAACAGTGTTCACATTTTTTGGGACACCCTGTGTAAGTGAGATCGAGGAACATGACTAGTTGATTTTTAGTGAGTTCCGAATTTTGATTGGTTCGCTCAAAACAGAGTTCAAAGGAAGCTTATCCTGTCTAAATAGCCTCTGCTTAGGCCTCGGACAGACTTCACGCGATTTGATCGTCGCGACTCAGTCGCCGACATTTCCATTCATTTTCATTTCACATTCAAAAATTTCGGGCTGGAAAAGTATCACAACCGAAATGCAAGTTGATCGGCATGGAATGATGTTGTAACAGTTGTCTCGTCGCGATTCAGTCGCGACGATCAAATCGCGTGAAGTCTGTCCGGGGCCTTAGGGATGGTTGAGGTGTGAAGGCTGGATACAGGGTTGGCAAGCTCGCGAAGTTCGTAAATGATGAGGATGAGCCAAAATTCTGCATGGACTACTTTGGTACTTTCTTTGTGATGTAAAGTAAGCTATGGCTAGAAAGCAATACAAATTTTGTCTGTGAGCAGCGAAATATGACCCAAAATTGGCACAAAGCATGATATTGTCTACAAGCTTTGCACCGGATAATGGCACAGATCAGAATAACTGATTAGGGGTGATTTGTGCAAGTTTTGAAACTATTATCCCATACTATCACAGTATTATACCAAAACATTTTTAGCTACTGCAATCCGTGGAACCTGCGCAGCTGTGCAACTTCAAAGCCAAGTTGCAGGTGCTACATACAGTGGAAAAGTGGTAAATTCTGTTTATATCCCTGTGAATATGATTATTTAGAAGCCCTCATAAATTAGTACTTAAATTATCAAAGCGAAGTAAACAAAGCTAGAAAAGCAACCGAGTCATCATGTTGAGGCGACCAATCACCATGGCAACGACACCAGCGCGCGGAATATCAGCTGTGTTTTGGCGTTCACCTATGTAGAGCAATAAGAAATGAAATAGCTACAAGATTTCAGGTACTCAGAAAAAAAAGATTTAATGCGAAAATGGTGTTCAAGGGTAGAGACAGCGAATAAAAAATTATTCCCATTTCTATTAATTTCCAACTGAAGCATGGCAAATGTTCTGCTGTGAAATTAAGAGTGGTATATAGTAAGTTCGGAATCGTCTTTCCTCTCGGCAGAAGAAATCGTAATTCGAATAACATGCAACGATTTACAGCTCTACTTTCTCCACTTCAAGGTTACAGATTATTACTCAGCATCGAATTAGCTCATCTACCCATTCTAATTAGTGGGACAACGTTAACATGCAGCGCGTCTTGCTGAGTATGCGAATAGTCGGAGACGATTGATGTAAACAAGTATGAGAGATAGATTCCGCAATTCTCAATAATAATGTGGTACGGGCATACTAATGCTGAAGCCGTTATCTGATCTGATTAAATTTTGCCTGAGGCTTTGCTTGAATCGCAAATGACCAGCGTAAGGTTGACCTTTCTTCTTTGCTCAACATAATTAGGATTAAGTTGAAATGGAAATTCATTGGTTTTTTCAAAAGACTATAAAACCAGGTACGATAAAAATCTAGGTCAGAATAAGCATTCCAGCTTTTCCTTCTCTTTCTTATGAAGGATTGTACAAGAGTCCTCTTCTCGTTTTGTGACAATTGCCAAAATTCTTCATCCGTCATTTCTAATTGCTCAAAGTACGGTTTTTTCAATTTGAGTATAGAAATAGAGCAAACCTCGGACTATACGGTGTTATTTTTAGATTCTCCTGATCTGCTGTGGTTAGCTTTAAAAATTTATTTTTTCGGAGGACTCGATTTTTGAAGTCATGAAAAACGCAACTGCAGCAAAAACGTGCAAGCCTCCAAAGTTGCTGCGAGTTGAAACTTGATTGTTATCAAACACTAGCTATCTTACCCGGCTTCGTCCGACCCTGTCAGAACACTATGATAAAGCTCTCATCTCTATCCCTGTACAACCTTCCGCTGTACCCATATCTACATGCCAATTCACTATTCGCGCTGTTTTACTAATCAGCATGCTCGTACACCCCCTGTGCAAACTCCCAGCCCCGTGCTCAAATTTTGCAAAAAAAATCAATAAAATCGATATTGATTGATGTCGAAAAGTAGCCTATGACACCCGCCCCACTCAAAGTGTCTGTGTGCTAAGTTTGGTTCGGATCGGTTGAGAAATGAAATTTTGTAATCGGAACATACATACAGACATACATACATACATGCATACGGTTATAAAAATGTGCGACTTGTTTATTTTTGTAAATAATTAAATTCATTTTTGTAAATAATTAAAATAATTTTTAAAATTTTTAAAAAATTCAAATTAACCTTACAAAAAATTTTTTTCGGGGGCGGGCTGACGCCACGCCCTCTTTCTCCAGATTTTAGGGGTTGGGGACCCGCACAAATTTTGAGAAGCGCCCCCAAAATTATTTCGGAGTGCGTGGCTAACGCCACGCACCTTCATTTGAAAAAATTTTTCGTCGCCCCCCCCCCGGCCCGGAAATCCTGGGATCGCCACTGATACATACAGATATTTAGCTTTATATATAAAAAGATTATTTATGGAACACATTCAAGCTTAATGTTTCTGCTCTTTCATGCGCTATAAGTGATCAAAAAGCCGCGGTTTTCCCCAAACAAATAATTATGACAGACGTGATAAACGCGAGCTAAGTATTCTAAAATGAGCGTAATGTATCCAAAGGTTTAGTCTACATAATAGTTACCGACGCTCTTGGAAACAGTGGCGTACCCAGGATTTCGGCTCGGGGCGCGACAAAAATTTTTTTTCGATGAAGGTGCGTGGCGTCAGCCACGCACTCCGAAAAAATTTTTGGTATGCTTCCTGAAATTTTCGGGGGCTCAGGACTCCGAAATTTCAGAAAAAGGGGGCGTGGCGCCAGCCACGCCCCCGAAAAAAATTTTTTTATAAGGCTAAATTGAATTTTTAAAAATTTTTAAAAATTATTTTAATTATTTACAAGTATAAATAAGTCTTTTGCACATTTTTATAACTCATGTAAGTAACTTTCAAAAATTTCGCGACCCATTCTCGGGGGGTGGGGGGGCGCGCGCCCCCCCCCCGCGCCCCCCCTCGGTACGCCACTGCTTGGAAAGTATCAAAATTAGATTTTTCAAAATTCTGGGAAGACTTTTCTTTACCGGTAAGCAGCCTCAAGAGTCATGGCTATAACATGGCAAAGATCGCTAGATCAGGAAAATTTAGCTATAAAGACGATAAAAATCTGAATCGAACGACGCTTAGCCCGTCCACCGATTGAGCATCTGTGAATTTAGCGACAGGTGAAAAAAACAGACAAACAAACAGCCTAATGAATTCCACTCTGGTCAATAATCTATGTATCAAGTTCATAATATTCCCTTGTGGTTCCTCATAAAATACTACTGCAAGCGGCGTTTGTCTTTGTAACCTACTGCATTTTTGATTGCAAGGCTTTCAATACTATGAGTTATAATCAGGGTCAAGCGTGTTGATGCGATCCGGGACCCTCATTTACGACCCCCCCCCCCTTGGAGGTATGCATACGTACGACCCCCCCCCCCCCCCCGTTTATCCTCCTTACCTCCCCTGCCCACATTTCTCGCGGTAACCTGCATAAACAAATGTCAATCTCAAAAACACCTGCGTGAGAAATTCAGTGAGGTTTCTGAAGCAGAATATCTAGGCCAATGGGTGCATCCAGCATCTGTAGCACACATAAACCTTCAATAATGTTTGAGAATTTGCAAGTTTCTTTTAAATTTTCAGGCATACTTCAGATCAGCAAATTCGATTCCCGTAGGCGACACAAATTTTTGCACGGAGAAAAAAAATGACATTCTTGAATTACAAAAGATGTTTTCGACTAAGAAGCTTACTTCCTACCTCTTCCACAGTTTTTCCCGCGAAAAAAACCGCTTGAGCGCCGTCCAGAACGACGTCAAAAACGTGCATGAGCACGGTAGTTTGAAAATTCGTAACTAAGGCCAGGAAAAAACTGAGAGGCTGCAAAACACAGGTTCTGTAATGTAATGCCCAGACTATCCATAGAAAAAGTTTCAGCTTTTGAGGAGCAGTAAGCTCGAAAAAATTTAGATGCGACTCTCTCAAATTTAGATGCCATCCTAAAAAGCAAAAACTGGGATTTTTGAGCTTAAAATTTTGTAACTTACCAGAGAAGTTATAAAACAGCCTGCAATTTTTATGAGGGAAAGTAGAAGGATGGCCTCATATTACAGCAGAATTGCAGCCAACAAGCTTCGATAGCTCCGAAGAAATTTAGATGCGACCCAGATACGACCCCCCTTTCCTGATTTTTTGCTACCATACATAAAATTATAAGAAAATCCACAGTTGACAAAATAACACCAAATTTTGCACTGATGTAGCG